GGAAATTATAAAGATCAGAGCAGAAATTAACACACTGGAGACTCGAATTACCAATTCAAGAAACAAGAAGGTATAAAAATCCTAAATAACCCAGTATCAATCAATGAAATTGAAGATGTAATAAAAAAAAAAAACCTATCAATAAAGAAAAGCTCAGGCCCTGACTGATTCACTGCTGAATTTGACAAGAAATTTAGAAAAGACTTGACACCTTTTTAATAAATGGTGCTGGAAAAACTGGCTCTACACATACCAAAGATTAAAATTGGACCCATCTCTCTAACTATACTAAACTAAAATCAGAATAAATTAAAGATCTTAATATTCAATCAGAAATATTAGTCTGATGGAAGACATAGTAAATAACTCTTGAAGATACTGGTGTAGGGAAAGACTTTATGAATAAAACCCCAACTGCACAGAAACTATCACAAAGAAACAACTGGGATCTCACCCTATCGAAAGGCTTTTGCACAGCAAGAAAAACCACCAACAGAATGAAGAGATAACCTATCACATGGGAGAAAATGTCAGCTGTTCTCCAAAGGATTATTATTGAGAACATATAAAGAACTCAAAAAAATCAGTTCCCCCAGATTTTTTTGTTTTTCTTTTTTGTCTTTTTCCTTTTTATCGGTACCAGAGATCGAACTCACGACCGCACACTTGCAAGGCAGGCGCTTATGCCGCTGAGCTAAATCCCCAGCCCAGTACCCCTAGATTTAAAGACCCAATACAAAATAGGCATCTGTAATCAATATATACTTCTCAGATGAAGAAACAATAACAGCAAATAAATATGTGAAAAATGTTCATGTCATTGGTCATTTGAGAGATCATCCAGAAATCAAGCAATAATAAATGCTAAAGGGGCTATGGAGAAAAAGAATCTCTCCACTATTAGTGGGAATGCAGACTGGTGCAACCACTATGGAAATCAATGTGGAGTTTCCTCAAAAAACTAGGACTAGAGGTCCTGTTCAACCCACCTATTCTCCTCCTCGGCATCTTTCGAAAAGAATTAAAAACATAAAACTGCACGATATATGTGTACTCATGTTTATAGCAGCACAATTTGTAATAGCTAGATCTTGGAAACAACCAAATTGTCCACTGACTGAGAAATGGATTAAAAAGATACATTTTTATACTATGGAATACTACTCAGCCATGAAGAATAAACTGTGGAGACTTTTATAGGTAAATGGATATAATTTGATAACATACTCATTAGTGAAATAATTAAGACATATGTGTAAATATATTGTCTCCGTGTGAGTAGCTGAAACTATATATATATATGTGTATGTATATGTATATAAAAAGTTAAGATTAAAAAAACAAGTTCATAGGATATGCAAGTATAAATGTACTGTGCCAAATAAAATGATTAACAATTCTACAGAAGACACCAATAGAAAGCTAGATCAACTTTAAAAAAAGTAAAACATGAATGATCAGCACAGAAAAGAATTAAAAGGCTCCAAAACCAGACATGGTAACCTATGCGTGTAAGCCCAGAACTCAGGAGGCTGAGGCAGGAGGATGGCCGACAGTTAAGGCCAGCCTGGTCTACATAGTGAAGTCGAGATCAGTCTACACTGCATAGCAAAATCCTGTCAAAAGAAAGAAAGAAAAGAAAAGAAAAGAAAGAAAGAAAGAAAAATTGATGAAACAGAACAGTTTCAGAAACAGATCCCATATATGTATTACAAACATAAAGGTTACAGCGACAAATCTTTTAGGAGGAAATTAGGAGATGAGTTAGATAAGTACTGGGATGGTCTCTCTCTCTCTCTCTCTCTCTCTCTCTCTCTCTCTCTCTCTCTCTCCCTCACACACACACACACACACACACACACACACACACACAGAGAACCCAAAGCCTTCCCAATGAACACCATCCCCAGGGAGACACAGAAAGAAATATTAGGCAGCTAGGACACAGACTTGAGTAAACCAAGATTAAACACTGAGCAAAGTGGAATACAAGGGAAAGAAGCTCTTTGAAAGTATGCAGTGGGAAGCTGGGCTGCAAGGGAAGTCTGTTCTCTTAACATCAAAGGTCTAGCTAAAAACACATCACTTCAAGTCTCGTTTTTATGTGGCTACCAAATTAGCTTCATATTTAAACCCCTGAACTGGGTACCTCCATAGCATCCTCCCTTGAAGCCCCTCTCAACTAGCAAGAACTTTCTTTGTCCTCTCTTAATAAACTATGCTCCGAGAGTCCCCCACTTCCGTGTCTGTTAACTTCCTCCTTCCATGATCCCCAGGACAAGAGCCCAGAGACAAAACTGGTTATCCTAGGACTCACTAAACTGCCTACACTTGAATTCAACGATCCTCCATCCTCAAACTTCCCAGAGTGCTGGTATTATGAGCAAGCACGACCACCTCTCACTTTTTTATGAATAATTATTAATCAGATCCATAAAAATTGGTATATTGCTTAAAATTAAAATCTTCACTATACCATTAAAAAAACTTTGAAAATCAATTTAGAGAACAGAAGCAAATATCCTAGTTGATAAAGAATTTATACTTATAATAAAGAAAATTCACAGCTCAAAACAATCTTCCCCCCACAAACTGGAAAAAAAATGTGGAAAAGACTGAATAGATGTCCTATCAAAGATGACAAATTGCAAATATATATATGTTCAACATCATTAGTCATGAAAGAAGCACAAACTAAGTAGAATAGTGAATACTAGAGACCAAAATTAAAAATCAACAATATCTTCTGTTATGGTTTGTGTCTGGATGCCCTCTCAAAGCCTCCTTGTCGTCATGGGGAGTGGACTTTTCAGAGGCAGCTAAATCTAGAGCCTGTGACTGATTCATGGTCCAATGCTGGGGTTAAGGGTGTGAATGCTACACCTACCCTAGGATGGGTAGCCTGCATATAGTATAAGGGACAGAAAGTGACTTGTCTGTTTCTTCCCTCGCTCTCTCTTGTTGCTTTTGCTGTTTTCTGTTGTCATGAACAGTTGCCCCTTTAGCATATCACTATGCCTTAAAACCAGCCAATTATGAACAGAAACCTTTACAAATTAAGCTCAACCAATCTTTCCTTATTTAACTTTGGGTACCGAGCATTTTGTCTCAACAACAAGAAAAGTAACTAGACAACTTTTAGCAAATCATGGAGCTGATAAACTCACATATCACTGCTGGGAATGCAAAATCGGTATTATTCACTTTTGAAACAGTCTAGCAGCTTTGTTATAAAGTGGGAAGTATGTTTACCATAAAACCTAGCAACCTTATTCCCAGATATTTTTTTCCCCAAGAGAAATGCAAAACACATGTTCACACCAAAATTTATTCTAGAATCTGCCTAACAGTTTTATTCAAAATAGTTGCAAACTAGATAGAACACAAATTTGTAGCATCAGTTAAACAACTGTGTAAGTTTCAGTTTGTTCTTATAATAAAATGCTACTTGGAAATTGAAAAGAATAAGCCACTGAAACATGAAACAATATGAATGAAACTCAAAACCACTAGGCTAAGTCAAAGAACCTAGATATACTATATGATACCACTAATAAGCAGTCTTCAGAAAAGACAAAGCAGTAACATTTAGTATCAATGCATACAGCCTACTGTGGTTAGCAGCATTTGAAGATGGGGCTGACTGTAAAACATTATGAGAAAACTTTACAGTGGAATAATATTTTTCATAGTTGTGGTAGTTATGCGATATATACATTTGCCAAACCCCACCAAGCTGTACCTTCCTAATTTATAATTTTTAAATGAACTATAATCTAGCAGTTAATTTTTAAAAAATAAGGCTAGCACCCTTTCGACATGAAAAATAGCCTATATAGTCCTATTATATTTTATAATGCAAAATAGTGAACTTCAGGATATAACATATAAAAATAGATTAGACTTTTCAAAGAGAAAATAATATTTTAAAAATTGTTGAATGCTTCCTATTATATTATCTTTGAAGTCTTATAATGTTTTCATTCATTTGTTTAACTGATTTTGTTGTTTTGATTTTATTACGTGTGATGTTATAAACAGTTGTTTTAAGGAAAACGAGACATTATGGTAGCCATTGCTGATTTGCTAACATCTCGAAGTCCTATCATGCTTTTGTTCTTCTGTTTTGATTGGTTCCATCCTGTTGTGTTTTATTTGATTTTATTATGTGTAATGTTGTAGACAACTTTTTTGAGGAAAGTAAGATATTACAGTAGCCACTGTTTATTTTCTGTTATCTGATTTTAAAGTTCTGTAATGCCTTCATTCTTTTGAATGGTTTTATAACTATTTTGTTATGCTTGATATTATTGTGTGTGATGGTATGGTCAAGAAGAAAACAAGAGACATCATGATAGCTACCGTTGATTTCCTGTTGTCTTGTGAAGTCCTGTGTTGCGTGCATTTGTTCTGTTCAGATTTGCTTTGTTCTGTTTTATTTTTTTTTGTTTTATTCTCTTTAAAATAAAAAAAATTTTTTTAAAAAATTGTTGAATGCTTCTTAAAGTAACAAGACAAAACCATTAATTAGAGAAACAAAAGAAAAGGCCTGGGTGAAATGCAAATAGAAAACATAGTTCCTGACTTTTAAGAAACAAAAACGAGAGCATAAAAATATAGGTTGCAGTGTTAAGTGAAATAAATCAGATATGCAAGCTTAAAATATCCCACAGTTTCTTTTATATAAGGAACACAAAACATAAAGAGCAAATGAAAAGACAGATAATAAGAAATAGGAAGACAACTCTTTTGAAAAAGTGAAGGGGACCAAGAGATTGGGGCAGGAGGAGAAAAAGATGAAAAAAGAAAAAAGAAGTAAGATGTATTATGTACATGTACCACCTCCCCATGTACTAATGAAAATGAAGTGTGAGACTACAAAATAACATATGCAACTGCCTGATTCTCGCTGTTACCAGAATTTTGTAAAGATCAGGAACTAATAAATACTGGTAGAATGAAGGAAAGAAAAATCTAAAAAAAATTAAACTGCTGCTTACTCGTCGTCTAGGTTGGGGAAAGCCATCTCTGTGTCGTCGTCTTGTTCGGGAACGTGGTTGGATTCCCTGTCCTTTATTAAGTGGGTCAAAGGATTCTATAATAATAAGCAAAAAGCATGGTGTGAGGCAAGTAACTCACATTTAAATAATGACAGACTGAGTAATTACCACTATTTCATTGTTTTATAATGAGAACTTTACTTATATAGTTAGGAGAAAAAAAGAATATAGCACACAAATAAAAGTTTATTAAAAATTGAGAACATTTTTTGTTTTTGTTTTTGGTTTTTTTGTCTTTTTATCGGTACCAGGGATCGAACTCACAACTGCCTGCTTGCAAGGCAGGCACTTATGCCGCTGAGCTAAATCCCCAGCCCCCAAAATTGAGAACATTTTTATAAATGGTTATTGTAGCAAAGGTAACAAAAAAGTTCAAAAAACAAATAACCATGTAAAAGAACAGTATGACATAAATTAATATCCAGAAAGGAAGAAAGCAGTATGTCCTAGATTATCTCCAACACATTATAGCTGCTTAATGACAATCTGGAGTCTTGCCATTCTAAAATAAAGGACTTTTGATGAACAGGTTGCAGTGCACAAACCTGATGGATAATCTGCTTCTAGATCCTGTTCTGTTTCCCCCTTTGAGAATTGCTTCAGTTCGACATCAGCTTCTTGCACAGCATTTGACTTTAAGGCATAATGATTCAACTCTTCCTCCCAGCTATGTGGAGTAGATACTGCCTCTGATTCAAGATCACCACTGTATGTACTTCCTTGGTCTGAAATATAAAGAAAACAAACAATTCATTAAACTAAGACACTCTTGTATTTTCAGAAATATTCTTAACCTCAGTATCAAAAACTGAGAAATGCTTGATGGACACCATTAACCACAGAATGAAGTAATTTGTTTGTCAGCCTAACAGAACTCTGCATTTTGGTAAGCACTTTAAAACATTCTTTCAATTAATGCTTACGTATTTAGCATAGCTTTTAATACTTTCATTACAAAACAGCATACATCACATTTAATGATACTTAAAAATATCTAAAACTATACATAGTTGACTCAAGAATACTAATTCTCCATTGATTTCTATTATATACAGAATGTAAGATTTCCAAAAACCGAAGTATATAAATAAGAACAAACCTTTTTCAAATATTTTGGTGTCTAGAAAGAGTTCTTGTTCAGAAGTTTGGGATTCTAAAGAGAAAGAAAAAAAAATCACATAATAAAAGTTTGCATGTATGATATACACAAAACAAATTCTGGGTCTCAAATTATGAGTCAATTATACACATGAAACATACCAAGAAGTACTAAATAAAGAGAATTCATACACGCAAAGGACAATTCTTTAATTAAACATCAGTGATAAAAGTCATTAAATTATTACCTGCATTAACAGTGATTACAGTACTTAGTAGAACTATCAACAATGTCATAGTGAGACAGGCTTTTTCTTTTGATTGGAGGTGGTCTGGTTTGGAGACTGAGCCCAGGGCTTTACACATGGTAGGCAAACCCTCTACCACTGAGCTACATATATCTCTAGCTTTTTAAAAATTTTCTTTGGTGAGGATCTTGCTAAGATGACTAGGCTGGCCTGTAATTTGTGATTCTCCTCTCTCAGTCACCTGGAGGAGCTATGATTACAGGTATGCCATCTCTGTACCCAGTTTACTTTTCATTGTATACTCAAAGTTAATTGAAATACTCCTCCATTTTTTTAAACCCCACACAGACAGGAACATTTATTTCAACAATTGACAAATCAGCTTTAACTAGTGTTCCAACATAATGATCTTATTGTTGTATTCAAAGGCTCATACTTTTAGAATATAAATAAACAAGAGCATTTAGGTACATGGAACTACACCGAAGACAATTTTTAACAACTACACAGTATTTGAAAAGTGAGGCTCTCAAAGATTAAAAGGTAGAGGGCTGGGGATTTAGCTCAGTGGCACTAGCGCCTACCTGGCAAGCACCCGGTACTGCTTAAAAAAAAAAAAAAATTTAAGGTAGAAAAGTGTGGGGATTTTGCTTGTTTTTTTTTGCTTATCCAAGAAAAGTGATTCTTTTCCTTAAAAATCAAAGTGAAATGAGCCTCATATCCTCTCAGCTGGAATTTAATTCTCCTTTCTCTGTGGTTATAACATTTTATCAACATTGTTGCCCCCTGACTCACATGTTTTGAAATTTAGTTTTAAGTTTTTTTCTTCTTGGTCTTCTTTTTTTTTAATCCTTGAAATAAAATGGACTGGGGAAAAAAAAAAAAAGACAGAAAAACCACACATTTCATCTATACTACAGTGATTACAACTGTCTTGAAAATCGATTTTTTTTAAAGCTTTTTTGACTCAATTTAGACAAAGGCATTACGTCACAGTACTTGTGCAGAGCAAGAACTTTATAAATGCTAAATATTAATGTGAATAGAAATGTCAATTTAAAATGAGGTTTATGGGGCTAGGGACTTACCTCAGCGGCTTAAGGACCTGCCTGACAAGCATGAGATTGTGAGTTCGATCCCCGGTACCAAAACAAAAAAATAAACAAAAACAAAAAGAGGTTTATCATCAGGGATTGCCTGAACTGCCAAACTAAGTGTATATCAGAAGTCAGAAGATCCAGCATAAAATACTATTCTAAAACTTTAAATGATATATAAATGAGCCAGAATTGTGAGATTGTTATATATCCCCTGGGCCTGCCTGTGCCCACCCCACTTCCTCAGGTGGGGCCAGATTTGTCATATGGCTAGCCAAAAGCAGAGTTGTAGAACCTTCTTCCATATGTTTGGTAGGAGGCATTATGGCCCCCAAGGACATAATGACAAATGCTCATGCTGAATCCAACCTCACCCGCTGTGATATGATGCTGAGAGTATAGCAGAAAGACTTCCCTGCCCAACAGGCTGTGCTGGCTGCCTGCAATAACCACTTCTGTTCCATGTTCACCAGTGAGAGTTCAGAGAAGAGAAAACCTTATGTTGATAGCCAGGGTTTAACTGTCATGGAAATCCTATTGGACTTTTCTACACAGAAATAGTACATGTGACTGTGAAGAATGTACAAGAACTGTTCCCTAAAGCCTTTCTGCTTCAGCTGAAAGGTGTAAAGCAAGACTGCTTTGAGTTCTTGAAAAGCAAGCTGGACCCTCCTAATTGCCTGGGTATCAGGGATTTTGCTGGAACTCACAAATGTGTTGACCTGATGCAACCGACTGAGGTTTTTAGCCAGAAGTATTTTCCTGAAATGGTATGGCATAAAGAATTCATTCTTCTAAGTCAGAGAGAAGTGGAGAAGTGTGGTGAAATTCAGGTGGATTTTGAAGAGTCAGTCTCTGAGGCTGTCATCAACTGGGTGAAGCATGCCAAGAAAGAGTGTAAAGAGTTCTTGCTTGACTTGCTGCTGACCGCCAGGTACATTTACAGATATTCAGCCTTTCATCTGCTGTAGTTTACAGTGCAGGGATCTGGCTGACAGAGCAAAGAAGTTTCATCTGTGGCCTGAGCTGCGAAGTCAGATGCAGGGCTAGCAGACAAAGGTCCATCTAGGAGCCAATGATGTACTTCTGGTGATTGGGAGCTTTGGAAGCTAGCAGTCCCCCATGAAGGTGGTTGGGAAATATGGGGCACAAGACTCAGCAGTGGAGCTTTTTGCCAAGCATCACTTGCAAGAGATGTTCTGTATCCCTATATGACTGATCTACTGAATTGGTGGTTACAATGGCCATTCCCACCTCAGTTCAGTAGAATGCTTGGACTACATAGCAGATGAGGACAGGATCTGATATTCTGTAGCCCCAGTGAATGTCCAAAGTAGCCATGCTGGAGCTAGCACCTGGAAGATTTGATCCACATCTCTGGAGGCTGTAATGGAAGCAGGCACCATACCAGTATGGAATGACATGACCCAAACATTGACCGGTAGAGTATGCTAGGAGATACGCAGATAGCCAAAGGTTGCTGGACCAGCAATGGCCTGCAGAGTGATCTACTGTCAAGGAGAATATGATGGCTTAAATGTCTCAAATCCAGAGAAATAGGATCCCCAAACAGTAATGTTACACCAATGGCCACCAACGTTCTGGTGCTGGAGTAGCCCTACATAGTGGAATGATTTAAGAGTATAGTCTACCTTTCCTTCTGTTGAACAACATTTGTATGATTCTTGGACTAGTAAGACCATTTTACAGTGGTATTTAGGAGCCATAGTGCTTCAGGGAAGAATCTATGCAACTGCGGGATATGATGGCAAGTCCCTGTTGAGTAGCATTGAGTGCTATGACCCTATCACTGACAGCTGGAAAGTGATGACATCCATGGGAACTCAGCACTGTGATGGTGGTGCGTGTCTTCTCTGAGAGAAGTCACCATTGTTGGAGCACCCTCTAGGACTAGTGACCAGGTCTTGGGAAAGTTTGTAGGAGAATTAAGGATCTTTTCTAGAATGTCTTATTTCTCACTGCTCCAGTGCAGTTGTGATTGTATTAATCTGACACATACTTCTCACACTAGTTCAATCCCTCAGAAAAATGGGTAACAGATAAAATAACAGAAAAGAAATCAGACTGAATGGGTATAAGAGATTGGATCCTTCTCCATTTGGTCTGGAGAACACTCTATTGTTGTTTCTAAATTTCCACATGCTTGGGAAAATATGTACATATTATGCCTCATACATTACAGAGAAAGACATGTGGACAGTGGATAGTGTCCAGCCTGGAAAACTGGAAGGATACCAGCTCAAGTAAGGTTGGTAAAATCCAAGTATTTTTTCCAGGAACAAATTGTTTTTCTAATGTACAGGTAGCTGGGGCACTACAGTTTTGTTCTGAAGGAGAAGAGGAGACTCCTATCAAGAGTTAGGCACCAGGAAGAGAGATTCATGTGATATTCCCTTAGTGGTGGTGGTAGTGGGGCAAGAGGGTTAGCATATCAGAGCGAAAGTTAGAATAAATGACATGAGCTGAATTTGATGGAATGTGAATGAACCTGGAACACTACTGAAGTATAACCTGTAAGATTGAGACATATTATTGCAGATCTCTTTATTTCCCAAAGATCTTTCTGAAATACAGTTTTGTATATCTTGGCAGTGAAAACGGAGACAATAAAAGAGTGAACAAATACTGGGATGAGAGAAGATGGCATGACAGTAGGAATTCAATATACCTAGGGATGAAGTAGAACCATTTGTGATTTTACAACTCTTACTCCCTGCCAGGGCTCATGTATTTGTGGCAGTGTTCGCCTTGAATGGGTGAAAGACTGTCCTGTCTTTGTTGAACAAATACTACTACCTGGGTATACGCACTGTTTATTTGGGGATGGGGTGGGAGTGGCAGCAGCCTAGCAGTTCAGCTACCTGATTATTGCCCTACTTTTTTCAAGGCCACAATTCTGCTAAAGAGTGGCTTTTACTGTTATATTTGGCACATTTAGTTTTTTTCCAGTTAGTTCTAGCACCTCTGCTGTTGCATACTGAGCTCTCTCATGAAGTTCTAGCTCTATGGACATTGCAGGTGTGGGAATGTGATAACTGAAACAAGATCCATTTTCCCTTTGCTCTGGAATTACTTTTCTTCCCTCTTTCTCTGAGTTGTATTAACTGACAGAGTTCATTTACTTTGTACTTTTAAGAAAATATATATATGTATTTTTTGTCTTTTTCGTTTTTATCGGTACCAGGGATCTAACTCACAACCATACACTTGCAAGGAAGGCGCTTATGCCGCTGAGCTAAATCCCCAGTCCCTTTTGAGAAAATATTAAAATTGTGTCAAATGCCTTTAAAATATAAAGAACATGAGGAACACTGGGATAATAATAAGCTTTTACCTATTTCTCAGAATATCTTAAGTAAGTGCTCTCCCACTGAGTTACCTCCTCAGCCCTACCCAGAGAATGTATGATTTAAATGCTCATTATGAACACAACAGAAAAGGTGACAGGTTTTCCAAATGCTATACTGTTCATAAAATCATCTAACATTATGCAAAACTAAAATCCAGTGGACAGCCTTCTAAAATCTACCACTGAATAAAATGTGGAAACAGCAAGAAAAGCGTCATTTCTTGGTTCATTAAAAATACATAAAAAGGCTTCTGAAAAAATTCACTTAAAAATTTCACAACTCATAAATATTTTCTCTAATTCTTTCTATATCCAAAAAGAAAGAAGATGGTACTTGCAGCTAGAAATTTTTCTGGAACATGTTAGTAAACTGATTAATATTATGTTTTTGAGTCAGACAGATCTAGATTTAAGTACGGATTCAATTACTTTGATTACATCAACAGGAAAAATCTAATATTACATAAACAGGACAAACCCAAATGAAGCATAAAACAACACTCCCTTAAAGGGCTGATGTAAAGATTAAATGAAACAATGTACTAAAGGAAGCACACATCAGTGCTAAATGTTATCATCCTTATTCAGAATAACACAATGAGACTTACCCATAAGTTATTTTGAGCCAAAAAGTTATCTGTGCTAAGATTCTGTTTGTCAGAGCACACACATGATTATACATTAGGACCAGAGAGTAGTGGTGCACGACTGTAATCCCATCACTTAAGAGGCTGAGGCAGGAGAAGTGGCACAAGTTGGAGGGCAAAGTGGGCTACATGGTAAGTTCAAAGCTAGCCTCAACTATACAGCAAGACCTTATCTCAGAAAAAAAACTAACAAAACAAACCAACAAAACATGAGAGAGAGGTAGAAAGGAGAGAGGAGGGAGCGAGGGAGTGAGAGAGAGAGATAGAGAGAGAAACAGAGAGAGACAGAGAGAGAACACTAGAAATCATGGTGAAATTTAAAATTACTTGAGTGCTGGACATGGTAACACATGCTGTAATAGCACTCAGGAGGTTAAAGTAAAAGGATCACTGAGTTCATGGCCAGCCTGGGCTACACAGCGAGTTCAATGCCAGCCATTAATACATAGCAAGATCCTTCTCAAAAAACAAAAACAACAGCAACAAAAAAGACTGTACCAACCTCCTTGTGATAGAGTTTTCTCCTTTTCTTCATCTTCTGCAATCATTTCTGCCATCTCAAGGAGATCAGCTTCAAATGGATGTGTGGGAACCTTTTCCTTAATGTCATCAATACTTTCAGCAATTTTGTCTTCATTATCCATTGAGGATGGGACAAGCATTGGGACAGGCATCTGAAGGACCAAAAATACACTTAAGCGCTTCTCAAACCATGGATCTGTTGTCAAAATCACTATTGGCAAGATGATTTAAGTCTAAAAATAAGAAATTTCAGAATTCTCATTATAGATGATTTCACACTCTTGACACTTCATTTTTACAAGATTAGAGCCATTAAAATAACTTAGAAAGTGCTTTGACACTAAACAAAATATGCCTCTGTATCACTGAAAATAATTCTACAATAGCTTCATTTCATTTTTGAAATTGCTTTTGCTTATATTTCTTGTTTAACATTTCACACAAGTGTTTCCACTAAGGATTTAAGATGGGAAATCTTCCCAATTTTAAAAATAACCAATTTTTCTTAAATAAAAAGTTGGAGCTGGGTGTGGTGGCACATGCCTGGAATTTCAGCACTCAAGGGGCTGAGACAGGAGGAGCCACAAGTTTGAGACCAGCCTGGGGTACAAAGTGAGCTTAAGGCCAGCTTGAATTCATAGTGAAACTGTCTCAAAAAGCCAAATATAAATAAAATAAATAAATAAATATTTTAAAAGATGATATTATACCCCAGGAAGTACAGGAAACTATGAGAGTTCTTTAAAGTTATTTAATATAATCACTAAAATTTTATTGCTAATGTAACCTTTTTAATAAGCTGTATCATAACAATTTCTGAGAAACCAGGAGAAGCACAAAAGCAGTCTTCTATACATATCTCATTAAGTAATAACAGCCACTAGCAATCAACTATATTTTACCAATGAATGTAATTTTTTCAGAACTGTAAGCATTTAATTAATGAAAATGCATCCTTAATCTCTAAATGCACACTCACTGGAACTGGAATTCCAAAGGGAACAGGAGCATACTGAGTATAAAGATGAAGAGGTATGGGCACAAATACTGGTACAGGAACTGGCACCACAATAATCTGGGGCTGACTTGGAGTGTCTTCTAATGAAAAAGAAAAAAGAAGTCACAAAAAATATTTTACATGACTTAAACTTCATTTCAAAAAGGATAGTATATTCTATAAATGATGCTAGAGACAACTATCCATATATAAAAAAATACAACTAGACTCATATCTCTTACCATATAAAAAAATAAACTCAAAAAAGATTAAAGACTTAACTGTAAGACCTGTAAGTGTGAAACTATTAGAAGAAAACAGAAAAAGTACTTTAGGATGCTGGTCTGAGGAGAGATTTTTTTGATATAACCCTAAAAATACATTAAACAAAAATAAAAAATGAGATTACAACAAACTAAGCAAGTTCTACATGCAAAGGAAACAAGAAACTTGAGATAAACTAGAGAATGAGAGAAAATATTTATAAACTAGACAAGGAGTTAATATCCATCCATGATATATAACAAATTTGAACAAGTCAATTGCAAAAACAAAACAAAAAGCAGTCAAATGATTCAAAAAGATATTTCGCCAAAGAATATATATACATAGACAATGCTAAGGTTTGAGTATGGTTTGTGTCCCCATCTCACCAAGTATTAACTGTGATTAACGACTTAGTCCCAGGGGTGAGGCTTTTGGGAAACAGAATCTCTGGGAGGTGAACCCTACTCGGAAACCCTTGGAAGGGAGTGTGAGATGCTAGTCTCTTGGTTCTTCTTTTAAGAGGCAATCACTGCTCACATATGTGCTTTCGCTAATGCTCCTTATGCCAAGCAGCCAAGGGGCAGACTTTCCAGAGCCATTTGGACTCTGAATCTTTAAAAGTGTGAGCAAAATAAATCTTTTCTCTTTAATGTTAGCAACTTCAGATATTCAGAGTGATGAAAAGCTGATTACTTCCGTTAAGTATGAAAAAGACTCAAGGGCTTGGGATATGGACTGTAGGTAGGTAACTTGCTTACCATGTGCAAAGTTCAAGGCCCAGCAACATCCCCCACAAAACTCAGTATCAGTAATGATCAAAACCACAGTTATGTATAATTCCACCCCAGTCAGAATACTATCAAAAGGATAAAAACCAATAACCAGCAGCATTAATAGATAAATGGAATAAGGAAATGTATGTATACACAATGGAGTTCTACTCTGACATAAAATGCTAAACTTGAGTCATTTGTAGGAAAATAGATGTTTCTGGAGACCGTAATGTTAAATGAAGTAGATCAGACATAGAAACTAAAATATCAATTTCCCTTATATGAGAAATTCAAAATATAAATAAAGAGCAAAATAAAAGATACTAGAAGTAGACAGACAGATTTTGCTTAAGTGGGAAAGGGTCAAGAGATGAGAGGAGAGAGGAAGAAAAGGGAAAGAGGATAAAAAAAGAATTAGGATGTGTGATATATAGGTACCAATCCCCCATAATGTAATCATTATGTAATACAAACATATAGTAATAAAAACTGAAAAAAAGAAAAAAGCTGGTGAGGATACAGAAAAGAAACTCTCATTTACTGTTGGTAGAAATGTAAATTAGAAGAATCACGGAAACAGATGGAAGTTCCTCAAAAAAGAAGAAACAAGTTAGGAACAGTGATATACATATAGTTCCAGCTACTTGTTAGGCTACATCAAAAGGAGTACTTGAACCCAAGAGTTCAGGGTCAACTTGAACAACATAGTGAGATCTTACCTCTTAACAACAACACAGAAATAGAACTACCGTAAGATTTAGCAATTTCATTACAAGGTATGTATCCAAGGGAAAGGAAATCAGTACACTAAAGCAATAACTTCTCTCCTCTAAGTTTTCCATTAACATTATTCACCGTAGTTGATCTATGGAATCAACACTGACAAATGAATAAAGAAAGAAAACGTGAGATAATACACACACACACACACACACACACACACACACACATATAAATGGGATATTATTCAGCTGGAAATAATGAAATCCTATCATTTATGGCAACATGCATGTCTCTAAAGGATGCTCGATTAAATAAAGTGGACACAATTACTGACTGTTCTAACTTACACATGCAAGCTAAAAGTTCATGTTACAAAATCAGTGAGTAAGTCAAGTGTGGTTGTGCTTGCCTGTAATCCCAGCACTCGGGAGGCTGAGGCAGGAGGATTCAATGTGCATTCAAGGCCAGCCAGGGCTACAAAGTAAGTTGAAGGCCAGCCTAAATTTCATAGTGAAATCTTATCTCAAAAAAAGACCAAAAAAAAAAAAAAAATTCAGTTAATAGAATAGTGGTTACCAAAAGCTGAGAAGTGAGGACCATAGAGAGAAGGTAATTAATGGCTTCAGGGGTCCCATTAAGAGAACTTCAAATGTTCTATAGCACAGTAGGCAACAATGATTGAAGACACCTATCTGCATATTTCAAAACAGCAGAGAATTTTTAAGGTTTCCAGTATTTAAAAAAAGGGATGTTACACATAATGCATATAGTTATTTTGACCCGAACTATACACATGCTATACACAAACTATACACATGCATTGAAATATCACAATTTGTACCTCATGAACATTCTTGCATGTCAGTTAAAAATTTTAAAAGCATATTTAAAAAAGTAAAAAAAGCAGTAGTTCTTACAAAAGGGAAATAACTAAAGAAGAAAAAAAATGGCTTGCATAGAGCACTAACAAAAACCAGGTAACATAATAAGTAGCAATGATCTAAGTATAAAATGAATGGAAGTATTAGAAAAGTGGTCTTAGAAGCTAGGTAAAGAAAATTGCTAGCAAACAGATGTACAATATGCTACAGGAAAATAAATAGGAAGATAATTTTTGATAGGTTTTAATAAACATTTTAAAATCAGTAGACCCTGGACAGCTACTAAACAGCACAAAATAAAGTGATGAATACAGCATTTAAAAAGCATGATTGTGGGGAAATGCAAATCAAAACTATGTTAACATTTCATGTCACCCCAGATGAAATGGTTATAAGTAAGAATACAAAAAACAACTGGGAGTGGTGGTGCACACTTGTAAGCCCAGCACTTGAGGCTGAGGCAGAAGAAACACTGCAAATTCAGCCAGTGTGAGCTACAAAGAGAGTTCAAGGCCAGCCTGAACTACACAGTGAGACCTTGTCTCAAAAAAAAAAAGTGAAATGAAGGATGAAATTGGTAGCCATTTTACCACTGAATAAAAAAACATAAGCTACTAAAGGAAACAATTATGTACAACTAAGACATTGAAGGTCTAATATATGATTGTTTACATCTACAAAAAGAATAAACATATACAGCACATGTTCAAAGTAATAAAAAGATGAAACAGAACTTCGGGAAAAGGGAGAAAGATGGTTGGTTTATTCCCATTATTTAAAAGCACATATAAGAAACTTTCATTGAAATGGGCCAGAAAGTATCTTAGATAACTATAAAATCATTCACATATGAGTAAAAGTGACCAGAAAGTATCTTAGATAACTATAAATCATTAACATATGAATGAAAGTGACCAGAAAATAAAACAATTTAACCAAAGCTAGGAAATGGGAAAATAACAGAGGATCAAATTTATCATAGTGCAAGAAACATAAAAAAAAATGTTATTTGACAAGAGATATTTGATAACAGGTTACATAATACTAAATAAATCACTACTATCAGAATTTATTATGTCACAATAAAAAGAAATGACCACATCATCTACAACTTGGCTATTTGGTGTGGTCCATGACCAGCCACACTAACTTTACTTGGAAACTTATAAAGTTTTGAGCCCCATTTAAATAAGAATGTACTTAGTAAAATTCCTAGATAATGCATGCACATAATAATGTTTGAAAAGCACTGGTACAGGAAAATCTTGCAGTTCTACAAATTCAAGATTTCTATTTTAAATTTCTGGGGCTTTTGATTGGCAGCATGAAAAGCTACACATAACCCAATTCTCTAGTGAAACAGTAAATTCAATGAAAACTACTAAAATGCAACTTAAGAAGTTATCTTAAAGGCATACAGAAAAGAAAGATTTCTTTAAGAAAATTTATTAAAATTCAGTAAGAAGAGTGGAGAGTCTGTGACACTACATAGAAGCTATGTTATTGGTGTCTGTGGCAGGAATCAATGAACTATTTCCCTCAGATTCCACTTGAAAGCTATTAAACTTACAAGGAGGGACAAGACACCAGCATTTTGCATTTCCTCCAACTCAATAGCACAAGAGAATAAATTTCTGTTCAGTGTGGCTAAATGGCTGGAAGGTCCCTTTGTAAGCAGCTCCTAAACATAGGATGGAGGATCTACCCCAAGGATGGCAGGCCACCCTTCTCACCCTAGCTCATTTCCAAAACAAATGCTACAATGCTGCCCAGCATTCATCAAAGGCACAAAGATTTTGGCAGGGCAAGAGTCAGTTCATAAGAAAAGAAGGATCTGAAGTCCTCCCTAAGGCAAATGACTTTATTTAAATAAAGGCGAAAGGGGAGAGAGTGTGAGAATGCAGCATGTGCAAGGCCTGGGGTGGATGCACAGCACAATAATTACAATGTAAAATAAAATTAACAAGATAAAATTTTTTAAAAATACGTGGAGTAGTTGAAATTTAATGATACCTGGTTAAACAATAGCATCTCTTAATTAAGAGCCTGTCTACAGGAGTCTAAAGTTATGGTTATTCCATAATGTTACAGGATAGTATTACCAATTGACTTGTGTCTTATGGAGTTTTTTTTTTTTTTTTTTTTGGGTATAGGGAATGAACTCTTGACCTTACACTTGACAGGTAGGCGCTTATGCCAGCGAGCTAAATCCCGGGCTGACTTCATTCTCTTTGACTTATCAGGTGTGTCTAGCCTGTGGCCCACATGGCCTATCCTTTTTTCTTTTTCTTTTTGGTACCAAGGATTGAACTCATGACCTTTCTCTTGCCAGGCAGACACTTATGCCACTGAGCTAAATTCTCGGCTATCCCTTCCTTTTTAAAAAATGTTACAATCAAATATTTCAAAAGGATATTTGCTTAGATACACTGATTAAATTATATATTTTCTATGTTCCCTACGCATAGCAAAAGGTTGGACAGGCCTTATTATTAAGGTTCTAACTTCTTTAGCCTTCAGAAAACTATCCTACACATATTGTGAAAAATAAATTATCAATGTATATAAACAATCACACTACCTGAAAAATTCCATAATAAAGGTAAGCAGACTATACATTCTTTTTCTCTCAAGAAAAATAAAGTCCAAGAAACATACCTGTCTGGCATTCTTTGTTTTGGGTATGTGGTTTGCAGGAAGTAGCTTTAGTCTGTGTAATGGGTTTGCACAATAATGCTTTGTTCTTCAAAAGCCTTGGAGGTTGGGAAGGTGGCAATTTCAGGGCATCTGTTTGTGTACTTGCCTAGGAAAAAAAGTAAGTTAGAAACCAAAAAAAGCTTCAAAACTAATCGTTAGCTGGACATGGTGGCATATGCCAGTAATTCCATCACTTAGGAGGCTGAGGCAGGAGGACTGCTATGAGTTAAAGGCCAGCTTGCGCTACACAGTGAGACCATGCCTTGAAAACAAAAAAAAAGAAAAGTTCTTAACAAAAAAAATCTTTAATATCAAGAAACATTTTAATTTTAAAAGAAACAGGATATTGAAATTACACAGAACAATTTGTAAATTCAACTAAATCTGTGAGAAATAAAATATTTGTGTAGGGGACTGGGTATTTAACTCAGTGGCACAAGCGCCTGCCTTGCAAGCAGGCAGTCATGAGTTCGATCCCCAGTACCGATAAAAAGGGAAAAAAAAGACAAAAAAAAAAGAAAAAAATTTCTGAAATGCTAATAGTAAATTAGAAGGAGTATTTCAATGACCAAATGTTAACTCTAAGTATGTAGTTATCACTTTCCCTTACCAAGAAAAATTCTAACACTATTTTAACACATTGTTGATCAATATTGTTTATACTACTGTAATAATAAAGTTTAAAGGAAAACTGTTACTTTTTTTTATCTTTTTGAGACAACATCTCACTATGCAGTTCAGGTTGGCCTTGACCTCATTTTGTAGCCTAAGCTGGTCTCCAATTTACAACAATAAAGATAGATGATGTGCCACCATATCCAGCTGGAAAACTTACTTTCTGACTGAGTTAGAGGAGTAATAGAGTCTTAAAGGATTTAAATAAGAATAAGAGGGTTATATAAAAAACATCTTATTAACTTTAAGTAACTTAAATAAAGATGCTGCGGCTGAGGTTATCCTATAGGCCACAAACCACTCTAGAAATGCTACAATTCCAGTCATGAGTTTCACTCATTATCTGTTTTCTTGGGGTTTTTTTTTTTCAGAGACAAAAGAAAATATTAAGGAGCAGAATGTTTAGTTACAGCATAATCTGCATGGGATGAGAAGAAAATAAGCTAGTTTTATTTATTCACTCATATCCAGAGCCTTTGCACAGAGCCATGAACCCAACCTTTTTTATTCTAAGGATGGATCTTGCTAAATTGGTAAATTACACAGGCCAGGCCTCAATTTGCAATCCTCCTGCCTGGATATCAAAAGAGTATCGGAACTACAGGCCTGTGTTATCACTCCTGGCTGATAAGCCATTTTTACAATATTTTATTCAAAACCTATGTATATGTCATTCAAAAAGCTTAAAAAAGTAAAATTCCAAATTCTGCAATTTCTTTTAATTTTGCACAATTTTTTAAAACCCTTCATTAGCAACACAATGGTAGCAACCACTCAAAGAAATTGAAGTGTACTAAAAATCTAATTAAACAACCAGGAAGTCCTACTCCTGAACAAAGATTAAATGATCTCATGAAATTTACTTTATAAAATCAACAAAGGAAGGCAATTTAATTCAGACATATTCATACTCTATAAAAACAGAAAATGTAATACAGCCACAATGCTATTACTAATAATAAAACTTACATCCCCGATGATTTTCGCGGTTACTGTTGGAACTGCACCTTGATAGAAATGAAAACAAAAATTTAGAAACTTTTATAATTACTTAAATATTACCACTAAAAGCTAATTATCAGTCCATAAAGTGTCATACTAAGGACATATTTATTTTCATTTCATTCAGTGGATGAAACTAGCAGTTCTAAAATATAAGAAGAAGAAATGATGATATGAAACTTACAGAAACATTATTAAAAATCCTAGCAGCCCACAGTAAGCTGCAATTCCTACTTTGAATGTGTCAATCATACAAAATCTTTGGCTGATGGAATAAAGGAAGATAATTATATTTAATTTAAAATACCTAGGTAGACAGTTTCAAAATCAATCCATACCTTGTAAGACACTGTTAGAATTCACTGTGGGCTGAGCAGCAGGAGCATTTGCCAATGATACAACATTAGCTATTACCGGGGTTGAATCTTTTCTGAGAGATGGGGGCCCGGTGGAAGCTGCTTGAACCACAGAAATATTTGTTGGTTAAAATAGAAATAAAGAAATCTCATATGATTTGTAAGTTCTTAAACAAAAACCAACATCTCAAGGATATTAAGCAATGTTTTCAAGTTTGAGTAACTTCTATTAAAATGAAAGGTCACATCAGAATTAACTGGGATTTTGGTTTCATCATTTTTAATTAGTAAAACCTGAAAGTTCTTCATATACTTTATCTTTGTATAAAAATGCAACAGTGTTACTTAAAAACCAACAACAGGGCTGGGGATTTAGCTCAGCGGCATAAGCACCTGCCTTGCAAGCAGGTGGTCGTGAGTTCGATCCCTGGTACCGATAAAAAGAAAAAAGACAAAAAAAAAAAAGTTAAAAAAAAAAAAAAAAAAAACCAACAACAAAAATCTTCACAACACCAATGAAGAACACAGGGTAGATTTAATGGACATTTAAATATAAAATGATTTTTAAAGCTTACCTTCACATTTAAAGGACTTTTAAGTTTCTGGAGTAAGTCCTTTTAGTTCTCACTTGTTTGTAAAGATACTATTCTTGAACTAGTCCAGTTTTTAAGATAGTACAAGTTATATGTCTTTTAAGCCATAAAGTTTCAAAGATTAAATGGCCTAAACATATATATGGTACATGTGATTCCGTCTTTATTTTTTCTGCTGTAAGTAGTCTCAATTTTTTTCCCTAGTGTTGAGGATTGAAGCTTGGACCTCCTACCTGCTAGTCAGGTGCTCTAGCACTGAGCTATACCTTTAACCTTTCAAATCTTTTGTTTGTTTGTTTAAACAGGGTCTCACTATATACTTCTGACTGGCCTCAAGCTTATATTGATCCTCCTGCCTCAGCCTCTCCAGTGCTGGGATTATAGGCATGGGCTATCAAGCCTGGCTCTTTTTTTGCTTTGTTTTGTTTTTTGTAGTACTGGAGAGTGAACACAGGCTTTGCAGTAAACCACATCTCTAATCCTTTTGCATTTTATTTTGAGACAAGATTTTACTAAGTCAGTAGGTTGTACATGTTGACTTGAACTTATGATCCTCATGCCTGAGCCTCCCCCAGTGCTTCCTTCTTTAAGGAAGCTAAGGTACACACACAATTATAAAACATTAACTTACTATTCTTTTCCATTAATTCAAGCACTCATAGCATTGGTTGTTCAATATGCTCTATGAAAGGCTTTTTAAAAAAACTGTTTGTGTGCCTTTAATCTAAGGTATTCATTAAAAAAGATCTAAATTTTATATCATTTAATAACAATGAAATTTGCATTTCATAAATTTACAGTTCTTTGAATTTCCTAATTTGTAGAGGAAAATAAGTTTATTTTTGGCATTTATCAAAGTTTAATTTTACCTGCACTGTTTTGTGAAGGTGGGTCACATACACTTTGCTGATTACAGAACATCAAGATACAAAGCAGGTTACAAAAATGTTTTACTTCCCCTCGCCATTTCAAGGACTCACTAAGTTTACCCTGTCGTTTGCAACCATCACATTTGGCCATCTGAAATAGAAACAGAAAACACAAATATATCTGTGGTCTGCCAAAAACAAAACAAAACAAAAAAAAACACACCACACAGAACACATCTAATGAGAAAATCAACTTAGACTCTAAATCTAATTTTTGTTTTTTTGGTACCAGGGATCAAACTCACGACCTCACACTTGCCAGGCAGGTGCTTATGCTGTTGAGCTAAATCCCTGGCCCTAAATCTAATTTTAAATAGGGCATATCTTTGCAAAATGTCAGAAGACAAATTCATTTTATTTGACTAACAAATAAATAAAATTATAATTTTAAATATTTCAGTCTCTTAAAATTGTGTCATCCACAGGAAATTAAGAACAAACAGAATAAGACTTCAACAATGTTAGTCTTCCTAAATCTTATATTAATTGTTACAGAACATAAAGTTCTGTATTTTATAAACTTTAAGTTTTTAATCATTAAACTGTTCTTCATTCTACATGAAATTTAGAGAGACAACTATTTTTTAATATGGTCTCATTATGTAGCTCAGGCAGGCCTCAAACTTGCAGCAATCCTGCTTCAGTCTCCTGAGTGCTGAGATTTTAGGGTGTGTCATTATGCCTGGCCAAAAAAAGAACAATTTATGGCATAATTACAAAAACCCAAGAATGTGTATTAGATTTTACCTGATAGAACAACACAGTATATTTTGACATGCATTCTTCACAACAGAAGTCTTCCAACTTTCCTCCCAAATTATTCTGTACCAGTTTGGGAGATGTTTGTAAACAATAGCTGCACATTTTACAGTGACTTCCCCAGCGTTTTCCCAAGTCATGTTTATAAAGCAATTTGCAACCTAAACACAGGGAAAGATAAAAATAATACATTTTTTTTTCATCATTTTTTTTTGTCTTTTTTCGTTTTTATCGGTACCAGGGATCGAACTCACGACCACACACTTGCAAGGAAGGCGCTTATACCACTGAGCTCAATCCACAGCCCTAATATACATTTTTAATGCAATAGGCCTAGAACAAAGTTCTCCTGGGTCCTGACTAATTAGTACATCAAGAGGATCAATTTAGAGTAGAATTTTTAAAAAATAGGGATAAGATAAAAATATTAGTTTTTAAATGAAGATGGGTTACAAAATAGTAACTAGTTTTTAAATGAAGATGGGTTACAAAATAGTACTACAAAATTATACTACAAAAAATAAATTTTATTTCATGAAACTTTCATCTTATGTTATATACTGAAGCATAAAGTAAAATTAAATTTTTCTTTAGTATTGTTCTTAGAAGGTTTTAGTAACTGATCTGGAAGGATACTCCTGTGCATTTTTAATAACCCTATGCAGATTTAGGGTCAACAACACATTCTAAACATAGTTAATTAAATAAAGAATACAATACACCTCACACTGATTTGCACTTTCAGATCACTCATATTCAGAAACATAATGGCATTTAAAATAATAAACCTACTAACTTAGAAGGCCCATTGCAACTTAATGACTTCCAGGTGACAATGAGTTTGTCAACTAAAAGTTCTTTAAAGTTCCTATTCAACCCAACAATTTCAAAGGTTTTCCATATTACCATCTTCTTCTGTGTTATACCATGAGGATCTTTGACTTCATTTTAACATTTATATACTATAAAAGACTAGTTAAAAGAATAAAGTGTCAACACATCAAAAAGGCTTTTAAAATGTACAAAAAAGGTTCAAATAGATAAATTTATATAATAACAGCTTAAATCATCAACTACTGTACTTTGAAAACCAACATGTTCGTATGTAAGATGTTCTTTTGTCTTTACCTTCACTACAGAATGACTTGTCAGCACCTGAGAATCGCACAGTCTCCTTTACAATTTTCTCAATTTTACAATATTCACACATTGCCATTACATTATTTATTTTCTTATATTCATCAGAACAATTCTTGCCACAGAACTGAAACATTTTACCCTGCAAAGAAATAATCATTAAGCACTAATTGAACATGTTGCTTACCTTATAAAAATACTGTGTCAATTTCAAAACAAGCAGTATGTGAGAAATGAAAAGCAAAATACAATTTTACAGATAGACTTCCTCATACTCAAACACTTACCATGAACCTAAACTTTACCTTATAGTCAAGAAGTTCTGGTTTTGTGGCAAAAAGACGGTTACAGTGTTGACACCTGAGTTTCACAACATTTCGTGTAAACCCAATATGCTGGGATTGGGCAGCAAGCCGCTGAAGACCTGCAGCAGCAGAACTACTGATGGAAGTGGGAGAAACAGCAGAGGTGTTACCTCCTCCTGCTGACACTGTTGAACCTGTGGGGATGCTGACAATTACTTGGCCCTGAGACAAGGGCACTACTGAAGAATTCATTCCAGCTGGTTTGTTGAACAAGTTCTGAAAAAACCAAACAACAAAGAAAGATTGACTAAGGATCTGTTCAAACAAATGGAATTTCCATGATTCATAATCCTAGACATATAAAATAGTAATGAACAGGTAAAAAGAATCCCCCTACCTTTGAGCAGCTTATAGTAACTAAGTGAAATGGGTTTCATTTATATCAAAAAAAAAAAAAAAAAAAGAAAGAGAGAGAAAAAGTTTTACTAGCAATCATCAAAAGATAGTCTGGATGCTCACAATTTAGTTTTTATAGAAGGCAGTTAAAATATTTGCCACCAAATACAAGATGAACTAAGAATCTAAGTTTTTAGGACTGCAACAGAAACTCAGGCAATCCAGGCACTATCAAACACTTAATAAGTTTATATAACTACCGTATGTGACTCACTGACTGAAGAAGAGGAAGATTCCTGAAGCCATACCTGGAAAGCTACCACACAACTGTAGCTGCAGAAGTTGCGTATACTTCCATCTGACATGGCTAGGTGATACTGAGGGATTGCTGAGGTTTTACAACTGTTACATTGAACTTGTACACCTTAGCAAATCAAAATAAAAACTAATGAGTAATTTATACAAATCTATAAGAAATTAAATAATACAGAATATACAAAAAAATTCCAAGGGCCAAGTTAAGTTGCAGGAACCAGAACCAAAGTTATGTCTTACAAGTCAAAAATTAACATTTACAACTTTTTTTTTTAAACATCTACCCTGAAACTACATAGTAAACAAATCTTAAAAGAAATCAAGTGCGGATAAAGCAAACACATTAGAAAAAGCTGTATTGGGCCAGTGATACAACTTAGTGGCACAGAGCCTGCCTGCCAAGCATGAGGTTCTGAGTTTGATTTCCAGTACCAAAAAAAGAAAGAAAGAAGCTATATGAAATTCTTTTGGTAAGAGGGGACTACATACATATGCAAATAAGTAAATAAAAAATTAAGAAAATGAATGATGATACCAAAAAATATGAAATAATCTTAAATTTGCCTTAGAAAGCAACTAAATTTACACAAAAATCAGGGCAAAAAAACAAAACTGGAATTTTTGAACTACTACATTTTATACTTTATGAAATCAATATTACCTGCAGAAGTAACCATTTTAACTCGGTATGCAGATAAGCAATTAACAGAGCAAAAAAGCTCTGTTTTCCCCAAGCTACTCGTATTTTCAATCATTTCTGCTGAGGATCTCAATGATTTGCAAAGTGCACATGGTGTAATCTTGGCTGATTTCTATTAAGAGAATAAAACAACATTATTTTAACCAAATTCTTAGTAAAAGTGTAATTCTCTGAAATATTTATATGTAACACTATTAAAATGTTTTACAATCATTTTGTTTTTGAGAAAGGCTTTGCTGTGTTCCAGGTTGACCTTGAACTCATGGAGAACCTCCTGAATCCTGAATGCTCCTAATCCCTGAATGCTGGGATTACAGGCATACACCATGACTCACTGGATTTATAAGACATTACAAAATTTAGTTATGTGCTCATTTTAATATGTATCTATTTTAGTATCAAATACCACAAATTTATTCTCTAAGACTACATAGATACCTTAAAATCTCTTTGATAGGTGCTGAATATATATGTTACCCTGAATATATAACATGCAAATGCTATTTAACATTATTTGATGTCAAGTCTCTAAGTCCTTAAGATAACAAGCTAGGTTGTTTATACTGGGATAGTAGGTATGAGATCTGCTTCCATTTTACTGCTTACAATATGCTTTATTATCGGTGGTAGAGTATTTGGAAATAAATTTATTAAATATCCTTAAATGTGTAGTCTATTGCCTGTATGTAGCACCTTATAGAGGCCTTTTTTTCACATTTTTAGGATAGCTTAGCATAAGAGTATGAACTCCTCATTAGGTTAATGGTAAACTACTATTTTAAAAGTGGTTTTTAAAACCAATTACCAGAACCCAAAATTAGCTGCTAGATTATAATCATTATTTTCTAATGAAGTACAGTAGATTGAAAAATAAAACAGTATATTTTAACTGTCATATTCAGACCACTTATATTTAAACCACAACAGCTGTTTAAGGAATCTTAATTATTATATAGACTGCTATATGAAAATTTTCAATTTTATACACATAATACACATATGCAAAATTTTAGTCTGTTTGTACTGGTTTGCACTGTAAAAAACTTAAAAAAAATTTTTTTTAAATTGTAGTACTGGCTGGCCTTGGAACTTCTGGTGATCCTTCTGCCTCATTTGCCTTTTCTCCCTGATCATGATTAGCACCATAAACCTCAAGATTTACAAGACTTAAACTTCAAGATTTTACAAGATTTAAATCAAACCAAGAGTGGAGGTATACGTTTCTAATCCCAGCATTCATAAGGCTGAGGCAGGAGAATCTTAATGAACACAAGGCCAACCTGGACTGAGTTCAAAGTTAGCATGGACTACACAGTGAGATCATGTCTCAAAAAGCCGAAAGAAAAAAATTCAAGTCAGGAATTAATAAATTTCATTGGAGCGTTTACTAACAAATCTTCCCCTCTCAAGTATAGATAACTGTGCTTTTCCTGTGGTTCACTGTAATATACCCTATTTCCATGATATCATCTTATCTCATATCATCTCAGGAGACACACAGTCCCTCAGAATGAAAGTAGTATCCAACACTAGTTGCATGACTTACATAAAAGAAAGTAGCAGAAATGACCATTAATATGCCAGGCTCAGTGCTAAATGCTCTCATCCTTATTTTATATAATTCTAAAAACACCTTAGTGACACAGGTGGTATTACAGCCACTGAGAGATAAGAAAATTGGGGCTAGGGATATAGCTCAGTGGTGAAGTACTTGGCCAATATGCCTAAGACCTTGGGTTTAATCCTTAGTACAACAAGTAAAAAGCAAGCAGGTAAGAAAACTAAAATACTGGGGACTCAAGGAACTACACTGTTTTCCCGGAGGTAAACCTGTCAACACAAAGAATGTGAACACAAAGCATGCAAATTAAATTTGTAACTGCTTTACTACTAAACCCCCATTATTTTGCTACAGTAGATATTAATATGTAAGAAGCTCAATAGGCACTGGCTAGAGTAACAAATGAGTTTATAATTACAATGTTTCATCTTATTTTTCTTCATCTGGTGAAATATGAGTCATATTTCAAGATGATGAATGAAACTAAGAAACTAGTGAGTACCTGATACTGTATATGGGAAAAAACAGTTCTATTCTTTCCCTACTGGGCACTGAACCCAGGAGTTTTTTCCTGCCTCAGCCTCTGGAATGCTGGGATTACAGCCATGTGCCACCATGCCCAGCTCGAGCCCAGAACCTCTTACATTCTAGCCAAGTAGTCTTGGAATTACCCCCATTCCAGTACAGTTTTAAGGATAACCTATGTGAAAATACTTGATTTTTTTCCCTTGTGAGAGTAAAAACAAGAAAAAACAACAAAGCTAATGTTTTTAATAACATTTTCACAATTTCTACTAAAAATTTGTATTTCCACAAGTCATGGAAGTACATGGCTGTTATCCCAGCAACTCAGGAAGCAGAGGCAGGATCTAAGTCGAGGCCGAGGCTGAGCATCTTAGCAAGATACTGTGTCAAAATAAAATTAAAAAGGGCTAGGTATGTGGCGGCTCAGTGGTAAAGCACTTGCCTAGCATGTGTGAGGCCCTGGCTTCACTCTGTAGCACTGGGGCAAATATCTGGTGAAAAGCACAAAGACATCAAAATTAAATATGGTCAAATACCTGTTTGTATGCTGTAATACATGTTGAACTACAAAACTTTTTAGACTGTCCCTCTATCTGAAGCATGTGGCATTGTCCAGAGCCACTATAACAGTAACCCCCACAGTTCTCACAACAGTTCATGGTGAGGTTGTTAGCAGAACGAAACTTAGAGAAGCAGGTATCACTACAAAGTTTATGTACCACATTCTGGTAATTAACTTCATGTCGAATCTGGGAATTAGAAAACAATACACAATCAACAAGGAGAGACTATTAAAAGCTATGCTTATCACCCCAATAAATAAAAAGGTAACTTACAACAGCATTCTTCTGACACATGCTGCATTTACTTGAAATGCTATTTGTATTTATGGTAACAATAGGTTTTTTTTTCAGTTCATATGTTGACAAACACGACAAACTGCAAAAATCTTTACTGGTGGTGGTATTTTCAAACTGGGCACTGATCACATCCTTTGGATTTAAAATCTCTCTAAAAATGATAACAAAGATAAATTAGGCCACAATATAATTCATGTTTTTCCTCTTTGTATGTTAAACCAAATAAAAGAGAAAATTATAGTAAAGTGAAAGGGACCTGGAAACCCTGGGTTTTCTTTCTTTTGTTGGTACCCAGGTTTAAACTCAGGACCTCGCACTTACCAGGCAGGTGCTTGTGCTGCTGCACTAAACCCCCGGCTCAGCCCTGGGTTTTCTTTCTCTTTTTTTTTGGTACCAGGGATTGAACTCATGACTTCACATTTGCCAGGGGAGGCGCTTATGCCACTGAGCTAAATACCCAGCCCCAGCATTGGGTTTTCTTGAAAAAAATTTATAAATTATTTTAACCCTTTTATTCTTGTCCATAGAATGACATTCATCATTTCTTTTTTTTTTTTTTTTTGTCTTTTTCTTTTTTATTGGTACCGGCGATCAAACTCACGACTGCCTGCTTGTAAGGCAAGTGCTTACGCTGCTGAGCTAAATCCCCAGCACGACATTCATTATTTCTATAGATGAGATTGTAGATTTCAATTTTCCTCTTTAAAACTGTCTATATTGCACAGGGGTACAGTGCTAAGTCGTACAGTGGTACAGTACTTGCCTAGAATGGTATTTCCAAACTACTCTCTAAAAATAGGTTTAAGCTTGAAATTTTTAAACACTGTTATCTTTTCAAAGTAAAAGTACATTTCAAAGCACATTTAAAACTACACAAGGGCTGAGGAGTTAGCTCAGCAGAATAAGCGCCTGCCTGTCAGGTGCGAGATCTTAAGTTCGACCCCTGGTACCAAAAAATAAAATAAAACTACACAATATATATTCTATCATGGTTTTATAAAATCTAACATTTCCACACATATTTTGTTTCCAAGCATTAACAGCAAAGGCAATGATGACTAAAATCCTAATGATCAAGGCTCTCTACCAAATCAACTCTCATTCCACCAGGACACCAGTCCTATATAGTAATTTACCAGATAATTGAAGGGTGAATCACTTGAAAAAAACAAATCTTCAGATAAGTAAAATTTTGCAAACAAAATTCTGTAAACAAAATATACCCACAAAATAGTATAAAAACAAAATATACCAATAAAACCAAATTTTTAGATAGGTAAAATTTTGAAAATAAAATTTTGCAATCAAAATACACTCATAAATTAGTTTAAAACAAAATACACCCATAAAATAGTTTAAAAACTGAGTCACACTGAATCCTGCATCTTAAACTCATCAAAATAATATTTTTCTAAAAAAATTACAAATGTTTCAATAAATCTAACAGTAAAGATAATGAAAAATCATTGTGAGAAATACCTGATAAACTATTCTCAAATTCATATATAACTCCACTTCTTATTGTCTCCCATAATTACAGCTGTATACTGCTTTACTTTCTGCATTTTAATTTCTTTAATTAGATCTTAATGTATTTCAGGAGTGTTTACTGAGAAGTTTGTCTTTTATTTATTTGTTTGTTTGTTTGTTTATTTATTTATTTATTGAAACAGGGTCTTGCTATATTCCAAGCTGGCCTCAAACTTGCTATGTAGTTCAGGTTAGACTTGAACTTTAAATTGTCCTGTCTCAGCTTCCTCAAGTCTTTGGATCACAGGTATGTGCCACTAGCTACTGAAAAGTTACACTGAGACAGCCAAGGGCTACTAAAGAAATATAAAGAAAGAAATAACTCAGCTCAGAGCATGTGACATGAAAGTCTCCCTGAAAGACTAAAATCTTAGATCCTACACAGGAGTTTTCTAGATTAAAGAGGTAAGTGTTAAAAGTGGCACAGATACAGGTAAAAGCAGAACAAAGAATGTATTTCTAATTTCAACACTCTTAAGTTTTCAATTAGATTATATGGTATACAGTAGATTACATATTATATAGAAGCAGAATGTTGTATCATGATAAGAAACAATCTCATTCTAATTTCTAAAAATTCAGAAACAGCACAATACACAAAAGGTTACTACACTGAATATTATATGAAGAATCTGATCTAATACAATTATTAAAATTATCCACACCACCTCCTTCATGTAGGATTTGAAATCATTATTTATTTATTTACTTGGTTACATAAGTGATTAGGCTCATCTTATCAAATTTAAACTGGGTGCAGTGGTGCACATCTGTTATTCCAGTATTTTAGAAGACTGAGGCAGGAAGATCACAAGTTGAAAGGAAAAAAACTTGGGGAGACTCTGTATCAAAGGAGGTGAAGTAGCTGAGGGAGAGCCTAGGAATGTAGGGGGCTCTAAGCTAGAGAAAGAAGGGGAGAAAAGGTAAATGAAATAAAACTAAAATTAAATGATGGTTAAACAATATTTTCAGAGTTTGGTTAAATTCAAGAGGTTAAGTGATATAGCTAACAAAAATCAAAAATAAAACTAGTACTCAAGAACAGCTATTAAGTTTTTTTTAACCAAAGTACTGCTGCCATTATTTCCACTGGTGTGTAAAAATAGCAGTAGCATTCGTTTTCTCTTGGCACATTCAAATTAAACTGAAATTCTTCTCACTGGGACTGATTTATAAATTAAACCTGTCTGACTACAGAGACTACATAAGGAACAATGACTACACCTAAATTAAACGAAGCACTAACTGAACATTTTAGTTTCTTTCAATTTGTTTGTATGTAAGGTACACCCAATTCAGCAGTTTCAGATTCAGATAAATCACTCTGTACCAAACTGTTATAAAGACTGTGTGTGTGAATAACGGAGCGGAAGAAAGGGAAGGAAAAGTAATAGAAAATGAAAGAGCAGATTTCATGAAGTAGAATGCATAAAAAAACAAGAATGATCAGCAGTTGAGGTTTAAAGCAATGAGAAAGGTAAAATGTGAAATGAGATGGAAGGAGAAAATAATGAAAGCACTACCCAAAAGAACAGAGAAAGAGAAAGGGAAAAGACTAAGAGAGAAAAAAGGACGAAAGAATAAGAGAATGAAGAGGTAGAATTACAAATAACAGGTTTTAGAAATTGAAAATGGTAATGAATTTGGTAATGAATAAAACCATTAAATGATAGGTGAAACAAATTAAGAAATTTCATATTGATTTTTGTTCAAAATGAAAGAAAATTTATAGTAAGATTGGTGTTTTTCTGACCTATAATCTGAAGCAATGTAATATACTACATGATAATCATAGCTCATATATTGTGTTCCAGAAAAATTTGGAGGGTGCTTTTGAAGTGTTCTCATAGGGAACACTTTAGACCCAGAGTCCCTTTTTTATTGAGGGGAGGGGAACTGAAGCCTAAGGTCCTCACAGTGAGTTACATTCCCAGCTTGCTTAGGCTGGGTTTGAATTTTTTGTGATCCTCTCGTCTCAGCCTCCGAGATCACAGGCATAATGCCTGGCTGAAATGAAATAGTCAAGAATCAATAAATTATACTAGGATCAAGATACAGAAAAAATGACATGCAAGTAGATTTTACCTATCACGAGAAACAATGGCAAATACCAAAGGCCAACAAGACATGATAAATTTAGCAGAAAATAACATGTGTGTCTGAGAATAAAAAGTATAAGCCTGTAATCCCAGCACTCGGGTGGCTAAGGCAGGATTCATTTGAGCTAATAGTGAGTTCAAGGCCAGTCCTGAACATCATAGTGAAACCCTCTCTCAAAACATTAAAAAATAAAAAAGATCATATATATATAAACACATTTTAAAATTTATATGAGTTTTCTGTGTAATATGGAAAATATCTGATAAACCTTTGAAAGTATCATATTATGAAAGGAGAAATATCATTAAGTTTTAGAAAATGTCAATATCCTAAAATTAGAATTAAATAAAGCCAGGCATGCTAGTATACATCTATAACCCCAGTATTCTGGGAAGCTGAGTCAGAGGACTGCAAACTTTGAGCCAAAGCTGGGCAATTTAGTGAGACTCTGTCAAAATTTTTAAAATATTTAAAAAGTTTAAAAAAGTAGAGATGTACTGAAAAAAAAAGTTTAAAAAAGAGCTTAAAGTACTGAGATGAAATAAACAAAAAAGGACTATATAAAGTTGCAAAGAAAAAAGTTCTTATGTCAAATAACATCAGAACAAGCAAAAAAAAAATCTGCTAATTGTAATTTTCAATGAACTTAATCTGTTATAATTCAAATAGTATAAAAAATTCTAACTTTGTTAAGCTAAATTTGCCACAACACTATAGTGTACAATGAGGTAAGGGGAAAGGAAGGAGAAAAAGCAGAGGGAAGCGAACACAGAAGGAATTGTACATGTATGTACAGGTAGTAATTCCACATGACGAATGTAATCATTATCTACTGCAAACATGCAGTAATAAAAACAAAAACTTTTTAAAAAAGAAATCACTAATTTCATAGCTCTAGCTATAAAATAACACATTTTCAAGAGTTAGGGTTATTAATTAATTAGTTCAACAAATATTTAAGAATCTACTACATTGGCTATGTAGCAGTAGATAAAATTACAAGAGGTAAGTTCCTAAACTTCTTCGGTTACAAGTGTGTGTGTGTGTGTGTGTGTGTGTGTTTTATTTTGACATATAAAACTATTTATCTTGTAAACAAGATGTTTTTAAGTATATAAATGTGATGGAATGACTAAATATTGCATTCAGGTAGATAGATAGATATCACCTCAAAGAGTTACCATTTTTGTGGTGAGAACACTTTTTTTTTTTTGGAGAACACTTTAAAAGCACCCTCCAAATTTTTCTAGAACACAATATATGCGCTATGATTACCATGTAGTATATTATATTGCTTCAGATTTTAAGTCAGAAAAACACCAATCTTGCTATAAAATTTTTTCATTTTTGAACAAAAATCAATATGAAATTTCTTAATGTTCTTTTTAAATTAATATACATGGTTCCAGATTACTTTTAGATGCATATGAACATTAAACAGAGTTCTAAGAAATAAATTTTGATATCACTGAAGCTGTGGAGAAAAATGTTCTAGCCTGTATATTTCTCTTCTGAAATGTTTAGAACCTGAAGTGTTTAAAAATTCAATGTTTTTAAAATTTTGGAAGCTGGGCATGGTGGCACATGGCTGTAATCCCGGCACTCAAAAGGCTAAGGCAGTACGATCACTGCAAGTTTCAGACCAGCCTGGGCTACAAACCTATGTACCTCAAAGCCAGCCTGAACTGCATGAGATCTTGTCTCAGAAAGACAAAAAAATTTTTTTGGAATATATGCATAGACTTTGTGAAGCATCTCTAATCTGAAAATCTGAATTGCTCTCAAGTCATCAGCTTTTTGAGTATGATGTCAGTAATCTATAAATTTTAGATTTTATAGCACTATGGATTTTAATTTTCAGATTAGGGATACTCAACCTGTACAATTTTTTTTTTTTTTTTTTTTCTTTTTGAGACAGGGTCTCGTTATGCAGTTCAAGCTAGCCTTGAGCTCACTTTGTAGCCCAGGTTGGTCTCGAACTAGAAATGATCCTCCTGCCTCAGCCTCCCGAGTATACCATATGGGAAACTATGAACATTGATACACAAAGTAATAAATTGTATTTTGAGTAGCGAGGAGTCAAAACAAAAAGTTTTTTTATGATGTACTCATTTAAAAAGTTTTTAAATCACCTTAGAAAACATATCAAGATAAACTTATTATTCCTCAAATAAATCAGAATAACCTTAGTGCAAACTCCCTTTTTATTAATAAATGTTGCAATGGACCTTGTAAGGTGGTTCAGAGATACTGAGAAGCGACTATATATATATATATATATATATAGAGAGAGAGAGAGAGAGAGAGAATGCTAATAGTCATTACATGTTAAGAATAAAAAATAGTAAATTCCAATTATGTAACACACCAGGAAACATCAAATATCTGTTTGACTTAAGTACCCTCTGTCTATAGTTACAAAATAAAATATCACAGTAACACATTACTCCCAATAGGTATTTTTTCTTGTATAAAGCATCTTGACTTAGATGAAAAGGTTGATTTTCATAATAATTCTTAATATATATGGTGTGCTTTTTAAAGCTAAAAGAAAGCCAAGCATCCAGCAGCCAGAAAGACTGAAAGCAGCAACATGTTGGTATTAACTGTGTATTTTTTTTTAAACACAGAAATGTAAGACAAAATACATAGGCTAAAAACAACCGTGAAAGAAAGAGAACAAAAAAGGTAACTGAGAATTCTGCTGTACTTTGAGCAACTTGAACAGGTTTTCTTGGTGAGAGGAGGCGGTGGGCGGGCAGGTGGAACTGTGTATCCAGTTAGGCACAGTGTAGAGCAGAAAAGCTGAGTAGACCCTTTTCTCTGATAAGCAGTTTGCCCCTTCTGGAGGATTTTTTTACAACCAGAACAGGAAACTCGAACAGCTGTGGCTGGAACTGAAGGAAGCATTTTATTCGTGCCAGATGATGCCAATGAAGGCTGAAAGCCAGTAGTCAACTGTGGAGCTTTAAAAAAAAAAAAACAAGGTTTAACTTTTTACCAGACATTTAAAGTTAACCATTTTTTTTTCTTTTTATTCTAGAGCTAGTCTTAAAACTCAACAGTAACTATACAATGTACAAATTAATGCACTTCAAATGGACCCAGAGAACTGCCTGAGTTATTAATATACTACAAGCAGAAACTTCCTCTTATTCATGTTAGTCAGAATAAGCTAGAATTCACATATTCAATTCTGTTTCTTACCAAGAGGACTGCCACTGACGGAAAACACAGCACTAATTTTCAGTTCCCCCTCTTGAGTTTTTTGCTGTTGGCCATGACTATACTCCTTTAAAAAGGAAAATAAGCATGTAAATACACAGAGAAAAGAACAAATGTGTAAAGAAATCCAGACATTCAAGATGTTTTACTACTGCTATATAGAGGCAGAAAATATTCACAATAAGAAATAAAATACAACACAGCAACCAAGCTATAATTAACAAAGGTTTAGTATGTTTCTGTATGCTGGGAGAGTAAGAGGGAAAAATTGCAAGTTAGCTACTTAATTAAGCCTACGGCACTACCAGATATTTATAAATTATTTTTGAAATTTTTCTTTAATATTACAGAAACAAAGTTACCATTTATTATAAAAGTAATACATAATCATATAGAAAATTTAAGTAAGCAGAAATCACATTTCCATCATCCCAAAAGAACAGTTATTCTTTTGGTATATTTCTTTCCAGTCTTTTCCCCTTCTTTATTCAAAGGCTTTCTTTACACAGTTGTAATTATACTAAATAATAAGCTACTTATATGAATTGATGTTCTGTTCTCTGAAATCATTTGAACTTTTGCCTATTACTGCATATTTATCAGAGATAATGTCCCCTGGATAAGTACCAGTCTTTCTGAGATTAGAGTCCAAGAACCCCTGAAATATAGGTAGTCTGAAATTTCTGAAAGAACATTTTTTAAATTGTATTATGTCAATGATTTTAAATGCATGTAAATATACTTTAAGTCATGAATAACCATTACATGAGTTCTAAAACAAGTTTTCAATACTGTTTGCTTACAATTACGTTGTTTAATTGTGATAACACTGAGAAATAGCTCTAACTTTTAAGATACTGTTTAACATAGTCAAAAGTTTGCAAAACTGAAATTCTATGGTATCACAGATATGCTCCTTTTTGGGGTTGGGTTTGTTGATACATTACTAAAATTTGGAAAATACCAATATACTTCAGTGACATCAGATTACAGGGAAATGACTAAGGTGAGTGCACTTTGCTCATGCACAAAATTAAAGGCACCAAAACCCTAAGGCAAGAAAGTAATATTTAATGCAATATTTTAAAAATCAACATTTATGCAAAAATCTAGGGTAAACAAAATATCAAAACTTAGAATCAGTATAATTCTTTTTTTCTCTTTTGCCTCAGGTTCTAACAAGCCTTGCAAGGCACTAAAATTATATAGCTATAACCCAATGCTGCTCCATTTAAATTTTTTCACATTTAGTGTAATCAGTAGTGGCATAGTAAGTATCTTTGTAGGTATTTACACTTTAATTCTTAAAGTGGAATTATTAGACAAAAAGGTACATAGTAAAGGTTTCTGATAATGACAGATACTTTTCCCCAACAAAACTTTTTAATTATAACCTAACAATTTTTAACAGGCTAATTAAGTCTCTTCCTACTTTGTTCCAAATTGCAGTTGCTTTTAATGTTCATTACAAGTGCACTAATATACAACAGTATCAATCCTCTGCAGCAGTTATCAACATTTCCTGAATATGTATTCCAAGTTAAATTTTTTATGTACTGAGGTTTCCATTTTATAAAGTCTGACAATCTTTACCTTTGTGATTTCTTCTACTGTTACAAAGTTTTACTTCCATAATAAAATTATAAGAAAGTGGTTTCACTGTTTATAATACAGTCCTTTAATCCCAGGGTCAGCAAACTTTTATCTGCAAAGGGCCAGATAGTAAATATTTTTGACTTTGCAGGCCATGTGGTCTTTGTTACAATTACTCAACTGTCTTCCACAGTGCTTACTTCAACAGCACATACACTCAACTGTCCTGGTAAAGCTCAAGCAACCACAGACAACATGTAAATAAATGAATGTGGCAACGTTTCGATTAAAATTTATTTAATAAAACAGAAGGCAGAAAAACAAAAATTTTAAGTGGGGCAGATTACATTTGGCTAGCCAATGAAAACTTACCAACCCCAGCTTTCTTGAAGATAATCTATCTTAGGGCTATCAATTCTGTATCATCAACAGCCTTACTTATGATAGCATACTATCCTAATGAAATTGTAGGATGCTTAACTATTCAACATGTTTCCCAACTATTTTTTTTGAGAATATATATGCAATATATATGTGTGTGTGCATCTTCAAAACTTTAGACTATAACCATCAACATTCTCATCAGAATTACATCAAATCTGCATTTTAATTTAGGAATAAATGACATCACAATATTTTTTACATTTTAAAAAAGGGTCTCCATTCAAGTTGTCTTTAATCTGACATCATGTTTTTAGTTACTGCTGGGAACAGAATATCTTTTTGATTATAGCATCTCACTGGAAAATGGTTTACAGAAATATTTCTGTATTTTATAAAACTATAATTCAACTGGATATGCCACTAATCTTTGCGGAGTTCTATCAGCTTTCTAACAAGTATCCTTACCTCCCCATTTCATCTACTTCTTCTAATTTTCTTAACATTTATTGGGTCAAAAATTCAACAAAAGTTAAAAACAATAATGCTGACATCAGTAATCTGCATTCCTTCGGCAATTACTAACAAGGTTTCCAACACTTTACTTTGAAATTCAATAACTGCTATTGATCTAAAATAGGTTATTTCTTTTCTATGATCAAAAGATTCTCTATTATTAAAAATATATATTGAATTACTGAAATATATTTTGACATCTAATGAAGGCATTACATAGATATTCATGCTGCTGAGGAAAATATATGTATTTAAAACTTTTTAATATTGACTTATCCTGACATCCTTATGTTATATAGCAGCAGTGGTGAACCTATGGCACGTGTGCTGTTTGAATCACTGAATCCTCTAAAAGGTTTGCCATTACTGTTACATAGTACATTAAAGCAACTCTTCAGAAAAAAACAATTAATTTCAGGAAACTCCAAAAATAATCAACACTCATTAGTTCAAATGTATGGCCTATAATCAGCCTTTATTCTCTGGGATGACAATTTCAAATTTTTGACACACTTTTAACCCACGAGTGTACACTACTTATAGTAAATTAAGTATGTATCTTAAATACTTTCAACATTCCATAAAGCCTTCAAAGCAGCATGTTTCTCTGTCCATCAAAAATAACTAATTTTCCAAATATATGACACAGATCAATGGTTAGCTAATAATTGATAAATACATTTTGAGAATTAAATATCTGGTTGATGACCCAAAAGGTTTCAGAAGAAAAAAAAATACTAAAATATAAAGATCTTTATGGAAATCTTTACTTTCCCTTTATTTACCACAAAGGAAGAAGATCCATATCAGTATCTCCCGACAGTATTTTTAGAAACAAAGAACAAGGTATCTACAAATTAACTTGACATGGCTAAAATATAGCACCAACATTTGAATGACTACATTCTATTTTCCAAGCTTGTATGAATAACTAATGTGACACTGAGGTAATTTGCTTTTCTGTCTCATTTATTTTAATGACAGGTAAGAAATTAGCTCTCCTGTTATTTTTAACAAGAATAAAAGAATCATGAATTTAACCTAATATTTACTAAATGTCTAGCTTTCAAAACACATTTAATAAGCAAAAAAGAAAAAAAAGGAAGTCTCTGCCTCTTTAAAGTTTCTATTTTAAGACCTTTAGATGTTTAAAAAATTAAACATTTATTTCCAAAAGATTGTAGATTAACTAAGACCTTGAATGTGACCCCAGACTGGCTCCTTCCAATATGGTCTTGAGTAATTAACTTAATTTCTATGAAATTCAACTCCTTATCTGCAAATATAGTTAAATATCCTATACTCAAGCCATCCTATATGTAGTTGTTTTATGTAAGGATGAAGCAACATAGCATACATAAAAACATCTATACCTATAAAGTCACAACAGAAAATACTATAGTAATATACAAAGGAATCAGAATGAAGAAATGAAACTGGGAAACCAAATGATGTTATACTAGCTAACAGAAGCAGAAGGATGATGACAACCTGGAAATTTATAACTAAAGAAATAACCAAGAGCAAGTTAAGTATGTATGCACACGCTTCAACATCTTAGGAATTCATATGGGAAAGTAAAGAAACTAAGACCAAAATGAATTGTGTAAAAAAGGAGAATTAAGAAATAAGCAGAAAGTAAAACTACAAAGTTAAGTATACCGTAAAGCCAACGAAGGCTTTGGAAAAGTGCCAGAAGCTACAACTATAATTTTATTAAACCACGAGAAAAGTTACTAGTAATTAATGGTCAAAAGTAACAGCTGGTCACAACTATAAAATCTAATCAGTATTTTTTGAAAGGTTAGTAGTATTATTTTTGAAACCAAGAAAAAACACGATGGAATCCCTTTTTCTGGCCTGTGGAAAACTATTAAGATTAATAAAGCATTATGCAGTATTGAAAAGCCAGGAACATAGATTTCCAATCACTATAGGGAAGAAATACCCAAAAGAAAAGCACAATGATAAGACAGATAATAGAAGAGGACTAGAAAGTAGAGGGAGAAAGGAAGAAGGAGCTGGGAGAAGGAAAGATAAGAAGAAGAAAGGATCAGTACCTATAATTCATAACTTGGGCTCTCCTGAAGGATTTTAAGAGAATTATCAAAAGTTTGGTCCTATAGAATTGGTCTGGCTAACAACAGAGAGGAATGCTTAGGGAAAAACCTAGTTTTATCCATTCACCTGCTGGAACTGCTTTATGGTAGGGTCAGATAAAAAATGCTTTTGGATTTTATATCTGAAACCTACCAATATTACTGTTTTGTTGTCAAGTGTCCAATCAATCAGGTCTGAGTCTCTGGGGAAGTTCTCCCCTGTAGTCATGATAAAACTTCATACTTAATATTGTGTAACACATTTCATACTTTTGAGTAAGTGCGAAAGATACAGGCATTTCTATCCAATTCATTGTGTTTACATTCTCTAGCCACTGGAACCAATACTCACTACTGCCACTGTATTTGTACTTTTCGTCCCAAGGGAATGCCACTGCATAATGTACAAAAGAAAGAGATCCCTTTGGTATCCTGCCAGCATTATGATTTCTTATACATTCCCTATGTGCACACTGGGGCAACTTAAAGAGATTCAGGATCTGCCTTACATACTGACATAGTTGTGGTGTTCTGAGACACACACTGCTACATAAACTCTCCCTGGGTGTTAGAACATTTATTCTTAATTCTGATATTATTTTATGCAACATTTTAATTGATCTTCTATTCAAATATTTTCATATCCTTTTTTATATTTTCTTAGTTCCAACTATACTCATATCCATTCAACTCTTATGGTTTTATTATCACTATTCTGATACATCTATCTTCTCCTGGGCACCACAGAATTTTTGCTTACATACATGTCAATTTAACTCATATGAACCCTCTATCACCATAACCACTTTGCTCTTATTACCTACTTTTCCTCTCTTTATTCTACAGCAGTGGTTTTCAATAGTAAATGATTTGCTCCTCAGGAGACATTTGGCTATACTGGAGAAATTTCTGTTTGTTACAACTGGAAACAGGACTCTGTTGTTACCAGCATCTAGTAGGCAGAAGTCAAGAATACTGCTAAACACCAAATACCCTCCAATGCACACGACAACCCCGCCTAACAACAAATCACCTGGCACAAAATGTTATTTAGGTCAAAGTTGAAACATAAATGAAAACATTCTCAAACCCTATTATATAATAGGTAGGAAAAAGTAAGTTTTCTCCAGATCAAATATCATTTCAGAGAAACTGTTAATTCATACTATCTTTACTTCTCATTTGCTAAATTAATGCCACATGTCCAAAATATGGCTGTCTTCAAACAATTGCTGCTGTTGTATAGTCATCCCTTGGACCCTTCCTACATTTCAAAATAATTACAGCATCTGATACAACTTTCTTTGACTCCAATCACTGCAATGTGATTATCTACAAGGTTAATTTAGTTGATTATGACTTCACAGTTACAGAATCCCTATGAATTTTACCTCCAGAGCAACTGTGAAATAGCAGAGCTCTACCTCTACTCATACTAAAAATAAAAAATCTAAAACTTAGGATCATGTACAGTCAACAAAGCCTCTTTTACCCACTTACCCAACAAACTGGTTCTTCAAACAAGCCTTCCAAAGACAATCTGTCCAGTAACCCTTTCTAAAAATGTAAAATCCACACCTAACATATACTGCATTAGCAGTAACTACAAAAGGCTTGCCTTCTATTCTGAATCACAACAAAAACCTATAAATCCTATAAATGCAATATTACCCCTTCAGTTATTAACTGAAGCTATAATCCTTCAACTATAACTGTATCAATCTTGGATCTTTAAAGATTCAACATTTCCTTAATTCTTCACCAAAATGCATTGAAAACTCACAGTGGTATTAAGAAACAGAGATGATTAAAAGTCTTAATTACTACTCAGGAAAACTTTCATAACCCTTGTTAAAGCCTTGCAAAACAATTCAAATTGCCTCAACTCCTTTAACAGTTTCCTTTCACCCTGTCAACAGACTACTTCTTAGGCACTATCTTTCTCACATGAATAATTCAATGTGTGAACAAAAAGGAGTTAAAAAAAAAAAAGGTGAAATGTTTACTTGAGCATTTTCAGGTTCATCTTTAATTTTGTCTAGTAGTCCCTGCTGTGGTGCCATTGCTTTGTCATACTCATCATCCAAAGGTTCTTCTTTAATTCTAATATTTGATGCAAAGGAATTCCCCAGTTCCGAACCAATGGATTCTTTATTGGCAAATGGGTAGCTGGAATCCTAAAACACAATATAAAGGATTAATAAGTATTCAAATGTTAAAATTATTCCTCTTCAGGCTTAACCCAAGGAAAAGCTCATTGGTAATGAAGTCGGTGGACATTCACTAGAATCCCTATGCCTAAAAGTAAATGTGCTGTAAATCTACATACCAAATACAAATAAAGAACCTAAGAGCTGAGGCTTCTAGGAATGTCTCCAAAGACATCCTACTCAAAGTAACAGTTAAAAAAAAAAAAATTAGCGATCTACCTAACACACATAGTTAAAGAATTCAGAAAGTGACATAAAGAAAACTTTGACACTTGTCACAGGTAACAGCAATCTACATACACACTGAAAACTTACCCTAAAGTTTGTTTCTGGGGTTTGTGGTAAATGGGTATGTAATGTTTCTTCAACTTGATTAGCTATTAAAAGAAAACAAACAAACAAACATATGTATATGAATAACAAATCTTACAGAGTGACCTAGAAAGCTATCATTTGTTTATCATCTCTCTTTTTCCAATACAGACGTTCATTAGAGTGAACTGGGGCCCAAAAATACCCAAAAGCTAGTTTCACTCAAAGTTATGCACAATACTGCCCTCACATACCTTTTAAGCCTTACTTTATACCTTTTGCTAACTTTAACATAGAGCAGTTACTTTATTCACTGCTCTCTGAAAATTACTTGTTCTCTCTTTATTTCTGCTACTTCTAATACGTCTGTCTACTCTATCCTAATGTTTATAGTCTTCTAGATCCTGCTCAGTTCAAAATTCACCTCTCCTCCTCAAATATCCCCATTCACTAACTTAAAATTTATCCCTTGCCTCTAAGGATACCTAAAACACACTGCTTCCACTATTTGAAAGAAATCTTGTACTGCCCTGTGACAAATTCTTCTACCATTGTCTTTAACTATAAGTAAGTCTTATGCTAGTAAACAAATCACTGATACTTCTATTTAACTTAATCTGTCCCTTCTGTTAGACACAATGTTCCTTCCCTAACTTTGATATCTTTTCCAGGGGTTCTAAAAGTAGAAACTGAACAATATATATATATGAAAATACCCTTGCATTGTCTTGTATATCATGTATACTCAAAATAGCTGTACTTTTTAACTCTATTGGTTTGTTCTTTCTAGCCTGTATTTCCTAGTATTGTCAAAGAAATATAGTATTGGTATGTATACTTGCTCTCCTTCACTTCAATTTAACATTTGAGCCTGGTTTAGGGATGCACAACTATAATCCCAACACTCAAGAAACTAACGGAGGAGGATCACAAATTGGAGGCCAGCCTGGGCTACACTGCAAGTTCAAGGCTGACCTAGAGTACACTGCAAGACCTTGTCTTAAAAAAAAAAATCATGAAAGGATTATAATTTTTACTAGAGCAGCTTAGGCCTCAAGAATACAAAGATGAATTAAGATACAATCTGTCCTCAAGAAATTACTATACTAGGAGATATGGCAAAACAACAAAAACAGAACTATAACATTCTGTGACTATTAACGTGAGGCATGAACAAAATACTGTGGAATTATAGATAAGGAAACCATTCTTGATTTTAGAGTGGTTAGGAATGACTAGGAAGAGATTATGAGTTAGGCATTATTTGGTAAGAAGTACTTTTCCAGATATATACACAAAAAGAGAAAATGACATATAGGCAAATGAAACAGTAAGAAGAGAGGAAGATACAGAATAAAGTATGTGATATACTCAAAAATGAAACTAGAACTATAAAGTACAGTACACTAGACAAACAGGCTCAAAAGAAGCCTTGAGAAACATAAAATATAAGCTTAAAAAAAATCTGCCTAATTTAAACTTATTGGTGGGACAGCAGTTTGAATTAGTGCTTACAGCACAAAGAAGTTAAATCCAACTTCAGGTTCCAATGTTCAACCAAAGAAAATGAACAGGTGATTCGAGTATCTTGCCTTCTCATCAAAATATTGCAACCAGGGAAGGGAGAAATGAGGCTTAGAGCTATTTTTCAACCATTTATACCATTACCAAAAGTTACTGGGAGAAATTCAGTCACTCTGCAAAGAACAAGGATAAAAGAAAAATGACAAGCTTACAATGAATTTAACTGTTTATATTTCACTCAATATTAAAAGCTGTATTATCAGTACTTTTTTTCTGTGTTTTAAGGTTTTGTTCCAACAATTATTACCTGCTTTATCAAAAAAACTGCTTTTCAACCTTGAATCCAAATCTTTATGAGGTTTATCCAACCGTTTTTCATGTTCATGATAAGTTAGGTCTCTATTTTTCTCCTTTCCAGAAAATGTCTCTTTGCTGTTTTCTCTTACTAGACTAAAATCTTTCCGTATTGATTTAAAGACAGAAACCTGATCAAATTGTTTAGTAAAGTCTTTTTTTAATTTATTTTGAATCTGTATTTCGTTTTCATTGTCTGATTCATTCTGTGTGACTCTTCTCTCTACTTCCAAGCTATCATCAGTATGAACTGAAGAAACAAGATTCTCCTTTGAACTAAAATCCTGTTCATCCTCATTGTCACTACCAACGACTGGAATTCCTGCAAGATCCCCAGAGTTCAAAAAATAATCATCTTCATCCAGCAATGAATTTTCAGATCCTGTTTGATTCGGCATTCCATAAGACATGCTGTCAAGGGTAGGAGTTAGGTTGTGGTCTATATCTTCAGACATTTCTGTATCCATGATACCACCACCTTAAAAAGTAAAATACTGTTTAGACAAATGATAGTGCTTAAAGATGACCACAATTATAAGGTCTGTCTGGTATTTAACCAAATATATTTTTTTCTTTTCAAATAAAATACTGATAATATCATCACAGTACTCATTTAACATTTTGATTTAGGTGTGAAAGATATGACTATCCCTTAGCTGACAGTTAAGGAAATGGGAAGCCAAGACTTGAAAAGCTTCAAGCTAGAAAAGAAGACAAAGTGATAGGAAGAAAAGAGCACCAATCTCAGAATCAGACATATCTGTGATAAAAACAGCACAATTCTCAAAATTTATGATTCTGAGGAAGAAACTCTTGAGAATCTCGATGTAAAACTGCATAATACTCACCTTGAAGATTAATTTGTGGTGAGGATTAGTGACAGTTATGTATAAAGGCCCTATTAAAACAGTGAGTGAAACACAAAAAGTAATATGAAAGTGACAATTATAATTTTATGATAAATATTCTGGGTAGCTGAGACCAAAATATTCAACTGTAATAGAACTTAGGCCTTAGATCTCATGAGTCCCATTTGCTCTGCACTAATACCACTACAATCTGAACATAGTTAATGTTTAAAGTACTATTTGAAGAAAAATAAAATTTAACATATCTTAAATTTTTTTTTGAAAAACTGCTTACTGCTGTAACTATATGCCAAAGTCTTCTCTGTTCGAAAATAAAGAAAACTTCAAACCCTAGTATACTGCTTTTATTCCTTTCACAAACTTGTGAAAGAAAAAAAAATTTTTACACTATTATTTTTTCTATTTAACCTCTCAATGATTAGTTCTTTGAAGTTAATATAATCAATTTCAACTTTCCATTGAAAATACTCTTATTAACAACATCACAATCTAGTCAAATTGATTTTTCAATCCTTGTGTGGCATGGTTCTCCTGGGTAAAATTTTAAAAATTTCTTTGGTATTATATTTTTTCTACCTTTGTAACTTGCCTATTATTGTACAATTCACTTCCATACTATTAACGGTTTCAATATTAGTGTTTCTCCAGTATTTCAGTTCTTTTACTTCATATTCATACTAAACAATTTTAGCTGTGCATAGCCATGACTTGTGTTACTGATGTTCTCATCACTTTACTTTAGACATTTCTTTCAAGATTTAGATACCTATATTCAACCTCTTGTATCTCTATTTAGACCTTTTAAAGATCTTGTAGGGAACCTCAGTTTAAAATCTCTTAACTCAAACTCATCAACCCATTCCATACATACACATCTTTTATCTTCTTCACTTGATTAGTAGACTCACCAAGCAGCAGTTGTTAAAGACAAAAAAAAAGAATAACACTAATTTCTTGAGAAATTCCATCAATGGTACAGTTTTATCTCTATCAATCCCATCTCTTCCACTACAGTATCTAATAATACTTCAAATCTCTTTCTGTACCACTGTAGTATCTTCAACAATACACTACATCCATACAAACATCTAAGAAACAAATATAGTCTTACAAGCTCTCTGCCTATACTACATTTAACTGGTTCATGAGAGGGCAAACTGAAACTAATGAAAAGGAAAGAGAAGCAAGGAATGAAAATATTAGTGGCACTGGAATCCTTGTTTTTAATCTGTTCCAAAAGCTCAGATAAATGTTCATGTGATTGGTTTTTCAACCTTTGCAGAGATGCCATGCTTCAATAAATTCCTCTTTTTGTTTAAGCAAGAGTGAAACTAAGTCCTAACTACAGAGTGAAAGATTTCCTCAAATTGTCCTCTCTGTGGAGACACCAACATTAGCTTTCTAAAAATGTAACTCAGCCAGGTAGGGTGGTGCATGACTATAAGTCTGGCACTCAAGGGCTGAAGCAAGAGGATTGTTGTTGAGTTCAAAGCCAGGTTGAACGACCCAGCAAGAACCTGTCTTCTTAAAAAAAAAAAAAATCATTCCATGTTATGCCTTGTTGTGAAAATCCAGCAATAGCTCCCCAATGCCTACAGTGCGGATTCATTCATTCAGCATGTAGTCTGTGGTAATTAGACACTAAGGATGAAAAGATAAAAAACAAATGGTAGCAATTCCTACTTCTCAGGAGCTAGAAAAAAAGAGTGAAATAAAAAGGTAAGAAACAGTGCAATGATGAACAAATAAAAATCTCTGTATGAAGCCAAAGTGAGGGAGAAGGGATTTTCTTTTAAAAAAAAAAAAAAGAAGAAGAAGGAAGAACGTTTAGCAATAAATGTAGAGAAAAGGATATGCTTAGAACAATCACTCTTTTTTACTTTCTAAAATAATCGATTCTGTCAAGAGAATATAAAATAGATGCTGATCTTAGAGAATATGTCACATGCCTGTAGTCTGACATTCCAGGAGTCTGGAGCAGGAAGATCTCGAGTTTAAGACCACCCTGGGCAAGTCAGCAACTTAGTGAGATCCTGTATCATATTTCTTACAAACTTTAAAGGGGCTGAGGGTGGGAGAAACAGGTCAATGAAAAGACCCTGCATTTAATAAATAGTATGAGGGCTGGGTAAAAAAGTGGAAATAAAACTTTTTAAAATGCCTTGCGGGTGAAGCATTAGCGTATCTGTAACTTGCTTTCTCAAACTGTACTCTATAAGAGAAGCAGGGAGGAAGAAGGGAGACCGTATGGTCTTCCAAACATTAGCTGTCTTATTTCAATTATTTCTTTTATTTGAAAATTCTCATAAGATTAGGGTTAAAATATAAATACAAAAGTAGAATGTAAACACGTAAACATACGCACACACAGCCCTACCAGACTGTTAGCACTTAAAGGTAAGGGTTAGAGTCTTTCCAATTCAACATTTTATTCTTACAAGCAGGCCACACAGCAAATGCTCGGTAATTGTTTCATCTAGCATGGTGAGCAATTTATATGTTATATGGATGACCAAAAAATAATATTGCACGCAGCCTTTCATGTCTCTACATTTAAATTCAGTATACAGTATCATGAGAAAGAGATAGCCAAGAAATACTGAATCCTTAATTTGTAGCACCAAAGTAGCAAATATTTACTAACTGGTCCTAAACAAAATATCTGGCAAATCTTTTTGTCAAAAACTACTTTTAGGGGGCCAGGGATATAGCTGAGTGGCACAGCGCCTACCTGGCAAGTGTGAGATCATAAGTTTGATCCCCAGTACAAAAAACAAAACAAAGAATAACAACAAAAAAAACAACTACTAGTAGGAACATAAACTGTTCCAAAACTAGTAAGGAAAAGTTACACAGAATTTATGATACTCTGAATACACATACCTCTGGACCTAACAATACTTTTATTTATTCTGCAGGTATAATCTTACCAAACTCTATTAAAAGGAAATTTTAGCAGCAAAAGACTAGAAACAGCCTATTTTTCATCAATAAGATTACATTAATTATAGTACTTGCAGATCTACAACAGAGTATTATATTGTTTAAAAGAATGAGGCAGGTTTACATGTTCCTAAAATCAATGAGGAAGATAAAACATACATAAAATACTATCCACACATAAAAGATTATTACTACATAAAAAATGTTTTACTAGTTTTCTAGGAGAAGCAAAACTGGATGACTAGAAGAAACGCATCTTTTCAACTATAACCACTTTTATCTTTTTTGTTGTTGTTGTTATTGTCTCTTTGAGACAGGGTCTCATTATGCATTTCAGGCTGGCCTTGAACTCACTCTGTAGCCTCCCGAGTCCTTATAGGTATGTGCCACCACAACTGGCTTCCACTTTTATCTTTGAATTCTGAAGCACACACATGTATTATCTATTTAAAAATGTAATTGATAAAGGAAAAATATTTGATAATATATTGTATATTTAAAGTTTGCTTAGATGTGAATTTCTAATATAACATTTATGCTGTTGTTCTCATCACACAATAAAATCTTATGCAGTTAAAATAAACTAGTTCTGTTCATTAACCTCAAGAGAATTTTTCTTACCTTGTGGTCTATATGATCAAATGAAAGAAATGAATTTCTGTTTCATAGGGCACTGTATCTATAAAAAAAACAGTCCTATAGTCATAGCAGCTAAAACACTTGAAAGCACAAATGTCACACAGAAGATTCCTGGCTTTTATATTACTAAGGGAGTTTAAAAATATGCCATAATAAAACATGCCTATAATCGTAGCACTCAGGAGACTGAGGCAGGATTGCAATGAATTGAAGGCCTGTCGGGGCTACACAGTGAGTTCAAAACCGGGGATGACTTAAAAGTGAGAGGCTGTCTGAAACAATGCTCCCTCTCTACCAATAAATACATACATACATACATACATACATACATACATACATAAGCTGAAATCACCTGAGGAGCTATAACTACAGAAGGGGTCATTTTTCCTTGTCTTTTCATACACACACCAAACCTGAAGATTCTTTCTCAATGTACTATAGTGACAGAATAGTCTTTTGCATCACAGTCTAGAAAATGGGACTGCAATAAACCTTGAGTAAAGTCACTGGAGGAACCTTTAAGGTTCAACTAGCATTACACACTTCATATATATCTCTTGTAGTGACATCCCACGAATTTATTGCCCTGGTCCAATGATCCATTTGTTCTATCATTTCTTCATAAGTGATTGTCCTATGCCCAAAGGCTACAAAAACATCTTGCTTTGACCATTTCATTCTCTTTTGAAGGTCCCCTTTTACATGCAAAATAAAACCTGTATGCTTAATTCTTAATCATGTTTAGGTTGGTTCCTAGATCCAGCCTAAGAGCCTACACAAGAACTAGAGGTAGGGGCATTAACTCCCTCAACACTCTATGTGTACATGTGTAGGATATTTGAAGAAAAACAAGGACATTATGCTAAAATTGAGTGTGCTAATGAATAAGGACAGAGAAAAGATAAAACTACTAGGTATTTGCAGGTAAAAGGAAACAAAATACCTTTTTTTTTTTTTTTTTTTGTCTTTTTCCTTTTTATCAGTGCTGGGGATCGAACTCACGACTGCCTACTTGCAAGGCAGGTGC